TGAAACCTTCACAAAATTGAAGTGAGGATTGAGATTTTTGCTCAAAAACTAATCTGATCTGATACAAGTGGTATTTATCTGTTAAAGGGAAAGATGCAATGAATGTTGTTGAAAAAAAAATGATGGTATTGGAAAAAGTAGGAAAGAAGATTAAAAAGGAAACCAATTTAAGATTCAAGGCCACGGTCCATGTAATTGTAGCCTTTAATACTAACTGTATGTAAAAAGACAAACTTGCCAGCTGTATATAACAAGGCTAGCCTGCATTATCTAGTAGGCAGTCCAACTAGACTATGTATCTAATATTGTTAATTTCCTAATTTGAACACCATTTTGAAAACAGAATCCTTTGCCAGTTGTAATTTCAGAGCAGGACAAATCCATTACATGAATTCAGCAGGGAAAGGGATCATAGTGTTCATAGTTGTATCAAATCCACAATAAAGACTATAGATCAGTATCATGTGTAACATTGAGCTCTACAGAAATGAATCCTCTAGGGGCACTTTGGTTGGAGAGATTAGGATCTGTCTACTGGTATCTAAGGGTTCTGGGTATGAGCTTTAATCAGAGTTTGGGCTTTAGTCATGGCAATAATGTTGAGTCAGACAGGGTTTTATTACAGAAACATTTTAAAGTAAGTATTTCAGACCATTCATTTTGTGTTATTTAAACTCTTATTATGTTGGCTGTAACCAAATCTATCCATTTAACCAGTGCAGCCCATGATCAGCCAGCACATCCGTGTAGTCTTATCATACCATGGTCTGCAATGTTCGCTGTTCGGTCAGTATTTATTTTGAAATTTTCCCCTAAAAGTGATGAATGAACTTGTCCAGATTTAAAAATGGGCAAGTCCATTTAAGATATTTAATGTGGACACTATATAAGAGGGAATATACATGTAGGTTTCTGTTTGAACATGGTGCCTTGGTTATCTGTATATGGAACCATCGGAGATTTCTAAATGGGCTAATAGAAAATATTGGAAGGAAGAAAATAGATGAGTAAAATTAATTACTGATACTGCCTATAGATGCTGGAGCTGCAAATCTAAACGCAACTCCCATCGGGACCTCAATGTTTAGGTAATTGTGAAATAAAAAAAAAATGCTGTACTGTATTGTTGTATTGTTTTAGTTGTTGGAATAGAAGAAGAGTGAATTTTATTGCCGATCATTAAAGACAAATATTTAGTTTCATACATCGGAAAGAAAATATATGATTTTAATTGCACTTTGCTATTTAACGATTTTTGAAGACAACTTAGGAAATCTATTGGTTGTTTTTTTTTAAACGATGTTTTTGAAGACAAGTCTGGGAGACTGTTGGTTGTTTTTAGACGTCTTAATGAGGTCTTGTTATGGAGATTGCTTCTGGTAGCTTTATAAATGGAAGTCGATGACCAATAAAGAAACTCTAGTGAACCGCAATAGAATTTAGAAGGCTTTTAGCAATTCTAAATTAATGAATTCCTTTGACATTTCTATGACAATATTTTTTTTCTCTCTGACTGGAAAATAAGACAAATTTGAAAAAAAAAATGCTTTTTTAATGGTAATAGAAATGCATGCCATATTGATTTTTTGAAAATACTTGTTTGAGTGCAATGTAATAAATGTGTGATTTTGTTTTGTGAGACTAAATTTATACCAATAATTAATTCTTGTAAAAGATTTTTTAAGTGGTTTATATTAATTCTGTTTTACTCGATAGGGTCATGATGTGATGTAGAAAAGTACAGTGGTAAGAGTGAAAAGAAAGGTGTTTGTGGATCATAGCTTATACTTATAGTGTAAAGTAGTAGAACCTAAGAAATCAGATAGACCTAAAGGTTCATAGTAGATCTTAAAATCTAAAGAGTAATTATAGAACTAAAAGATTATCAATTAAAGATAAACAGTAATTATATTCTAAAATTTGGAATTGAACATAGAGGTTTGTAGTAGATCTTAAAACAGTAAAAGTAGGTCCTATAGAGTAAAAATAGAACTAAAAGGTTGTTAGTGAAACACAGACAGTAATAGTAAAACCTTAACCTAGATATTGGTAATGGATGATAGACAAAAACCATAGAAAAAGTGAAATTAGAATCTTAAAGGTTGAACAGTAATGATAAGTAAAAAGGTTGTAAGTAGAGTGTGCAACATAAACAGTAAAAGTAGAGCCTATAGAGATAAAAATAGAACATAGAGGGTGATAGAACCTAAAAAGGTAGAAGTTGAAACTAAATCAATGGAAGGTTGTTTATTGTGTTTTCAACAACAAAAAATATTTTAACAAAATGTAACATGATCTTGATGGTGTTACAACATAATTATGTTAGTTATACAATTTAGTTAATAACAATTTAGTTATACAATTTAGTTAAACACCATGTGATAAGAGATAGAGATAAATGTTTTTATTCATGATTTTCTGAAGATCACTTCATGGTACCTGAAACATGCCAGATTGACCAGCCACCAATTATAAATGGTGTTTGGCGTTGTTATATTGTTGTGCATGTTGTTCACTCTAACTCTACTTATATTACTAATCTTGTCAGCTCTGGCTGTATGTCTATCACATTGATGTGAAACTGTCAGCATATACATGTACATGTAATTATGATATCCACTAACTGTTTCATGAGTTTTTGCGTCATATTTCACAATTGGGAGTTGGCTAATTGATTTGGCCGGCAAAGATTGTGAATTATTTATCACTCCAGTTATTACTTTTTGCTCGAGAACTGCCTACGTATGTATAAAATATGTGAAAGCAGTTAATCATAATTGATGTTGAACTGCACTTAACCAGTACTGGCCTAGATTACATTAGATATAGGTCATTGAATTTCATCAGTTGTATGTTAATGGTATGTCAGAAGTGTTTTTTAAGGCCCCTAAGGGATGGCATGTTGTCTGTGACGCAATGCAAGTTTTTTGGTTGTTTTTTTTTTTTTTAGTAAATATGCCTATGAATAGATATGATACTTCCGAGAGACTGTTATTCAAGTGGTTGTAATGAAACTGGTAAAAAAGTTATAACTTAAATCAAAATGAAAACTGATGCACAATTTAAATCTCACACTTTTTGTTGGTACCTGTATAATTTACTCTCTTAATTTACTGGTTAAGGTACAGTTAAAAGTGTTAACATAGAATAAATATATACGAGGGCTGTTCAAAAAGTTCGTGGACTGCGGCTCTACTGTTCACATCTTTTAATTTGCGTATATGATTTTACAAGAAACATATATGAAAATATGTCCTAAATAAACAGTGAAAAAATCAAAACAATATGTTTACAAATAAAAATTCTGTGACAATTACAAATCACAACGGGTGCACAATCCGGCGCACGCTGATGATGAAACAAAATGACGTTCGTGACGCCGCAATATAAATGAAACATTTTACCAGCGTCATTGTTTCTGAAAGTACTCTTTTAGTGTTCAATATCTGCGGATCATATACCAAAACCATTTTTCTGTTTGCGATGATGACCCGAGATATAAAGTGGTCATCTATTTGCTCCATTCTCCGTATAAAGGTCCGAGTGCCGCATACTTTCCGCTCTTTATCGGGATTTTTGAGTAATTTAGACACTAAACGGACAGTGTTATGAAGTTAATTCAATTGTTGATTGATAGTATCAATTTGAAACCGCCCTCGTCCGATCTTTAAACACTATGATTATCGATGATAAAGAAAATATTTTATCAACTGGCACTTATTCTTAGCGGTAAATCTACTGAACACCGGCTAGCATTAATTATCAAACAGACCAGGGTAAATACAGGAAATACAAATAATAACTACAAGTATTTATTGTAAATACGCATATATCCTGATGAATGAAATAAAATATTATTTTAATTAAATTAAATTGTTTTGTCAGAATTGAATGCATAGACCCGATGCAGGATTAAACATTTCGGACATCTTGCAAAACTGTCATAATGCCTGAATTTCTGTAGATCTTTTGCAATTGACGTTACAAACGTCCCAACTATATGCCGCTAAAATTATTCGTCGCCCTTTCTGTCTGTGAGCATGTATTTGCCCTATTTGAATCGCTTGCGCGACCTGAAACCAAGAGACTTGCTCGACAACTCATTGTTTTTCGTTAATTTAATCACCTTATAAAAATATAAAGGAGTATACCACATTTATTGGTAAAAATTTCCGAAAGAGCGAATTTCTAGTTTTTAAACGGGGTTTATACTTCCCAACTTACCCGTCTGTCTACTGCTGCTCAAAACTTGTTTGTTAAGCTATTTGACGTCCAAACGACGCCAAAAGTCAGATTTATGTCATTTAAATATTAATAGATGATTACTTGTATTTAACTTCATAAAACAATCATTTAATTTGTTTCATCATTTGTTTATATTTAAACATTATATCAAAATTTCGGCGTGCGCCAATGTTGCGTTGCCATGGTTATTAAAGTGTACATAACTCGTAAAGGAAATGAAAGTTAACAATAAAAGTAAATTTTACTTTTGAAAATAAAGACATCTTTTGATTCATATTCACTAAGGGTGTTTTTATGAACCAAGTAAAAAATGACAGCAAAAATCCACGAACTTTTTGAACATACCTCGTATGTCTATAAATATAAAAACATTTATTATGTTTCAGTATGTGTCAGGTACTAAATGTGCACATCATTTTAAGACAATAAGCACTTCAGGCCTTGTGAAGTTTTAGATGGAACTAAACATGACAAAGTCTCCATCGTACTGATTAATTTGATCTAAAATTAATTTAGTACTTTGGACCTTTAGATGACCCACAATACGCTTGTACAAGTCTCGGACTGCCGCCTTCAGAGTGCTGGCAGTTTAGATCCAACCTGGCCTACATGGACATGTAGTTTAGCATATTGAAATTTGAATATCTTAAATTAAACAATGGCATGTTATTAATTTCAGGGATTAATCTTTTATACCCAGATTTGATATGGTAAATGATTCCTTTATTTTCAATATCATGTGTTGTGTTTTTCAGAGAGCCACGGAAGGTTGTGTTAAAGAAAGGCTCGACTGGTCTAGGGTTTAACATTGTGGGGGGAGAAGATGGGGAAGGTATTTTTGTATCGTTCATCTTGGCCGGCGGACCGGCTGACCTCAGTGGCGAGATCCGGAGAGGAGATCAAATATTGTCTGTGAGTAACATTCTTATGAAAGATTGTATATTGTATTCATCAATTTCTATTGTAATAGCTTGTGTACCATTTGATGAAGGTTTCGACCAATAACTTTTTTGCAAATTTTCAGATCATTCTTTCAACCTGTTTTTCTAGAATCATCATTTGTATAGTGCTAAAGGACCCAAAAATGAAAAGTGCATTAATGTTTTTCACTCAAATCACACTAAGAATCACACAAAATGTGTTTAGACTTTTAGACTTTTTGACCTCAATGAGCTCCTTTAATACAAATGTATTCAGTTTTAGACTTGTATTTGGAGGATGAAAAAGTTGAAAACACAGTAGAACAGCAGAGATAATGTAATTGAATTGATATCGTAAATTTTGTAGTGTCGAAATAGTGCAAGAAATTAATTTGAAACAAATAAAACAAAATACATACAGGATTTTTATGCCTCCATTACTAAAATGGGGAGAACATATAGGTTTGCTCTTGTGTGTCCATCATGCTGTCCAGTGCTGTAATGCTTTCCATCCTTTGACAGACAAATCAGTGGGGGCATCTGATCAGAATGTGAGGGCATCTGTGTCCTATGGACACATTTCAAGTTTTACTAGATTCATTCTATTGTAAGGAAGTGTGAATCATTGCCTTAGAATAATATTTCTTGATTTCAATTTCAGGTCAATGAGACAGATTTACGGAGGGCCACACATGAGGAGGCTGCAGCTTGTTTGAAAGGTGCGGGTGACACGGTGGAAATTGTGTGCCAATACAGGCCAGAAGGTACGCTAATCTTTCAAAAAATTTCAAGTTTGCTTGAAACTGTCGCTGTTTTTTATATATGCTACTTACTCAGAAGTGGGCAGAAATCAAAAGAAAATTGTTCAGAACAGTTTAGTTTGTATATCAACACTGAAATAAGGCAATTTTTGTGATAATAAAAATCTGTTTTAAGAATGTATGTCCATCCTTTAGGGAAGGCAATTGTCTTAATAAAAAAAGTGTTAATTACTAAGAGAAAGGAAGGTAGGTATTGATTTTCATAAGTCTATTAAAGACATCAGCATAACAAATTTTATCCCTCAAGCTATTTTCTCCAAATCTCAGACATTCAGACAAATTCAAAGCGTTGCTTTTTCCTCATTCAAAGAAAAGAATTTTCATTCCAGAGCTAAAATGCTTAGAAATTGGTTATTTGTACCTTTTATTTATATGAAAAAAGTAAACCCATAGAGGATATTCAAGTTTTTTCTATAATACATGATTTATTTTCATAGAGTGGTATGAAAATAAATATTTCATGAGTGGCGGTAGCCACGAGTGAAATATGGTAATTTTCATGCCACAAGATGAAAATAAATCATGTATTTATAGAAAAAACTTGAATTTTCTGTTTATTATGTACATTTTTCTCTTTTTTGCGATAAAATTTGAAAAACTTTCCCTTAAATTTTGTGTACTGGTAGAATTTAAAAGAAAGTAGTCCGGCAAGACACCAGTGAAAATACGGAAAATATGTTTCACTGCAGTGAAAAATAAATTTTTACATTGAAAATACGGAAAATGAAAATACGCATTTTAATTCATCAATATTTCTCAATATTTCATTTATAAGTATATAATAAATTAAAATATTTTTGTTTAGTTTGTCAAGTAGATGTATTAAATCATTAATAGCCTATATTTTATTCAAACAACCATTTGTAATATTTACCAGAACAGATATTTTACCACATAACTTTGAAGAATCTTTAAAGATTTTTATCCAAGTCTTGCTAAATTTTGTATCTTTTATTTATGACTCCCTACTTCTACAGGTTTCTAATTTTCTATATCGATGGCCAAGTTCCTTTTTCCCTAATTCTCAAGTTTATATTTTTCTATATCAATGGCCAAGTTTTGTGTTCATTTATTCCCATGTTGGTTTTTTTTACCCCTATATATACATATACTATAAAATATACAGTAAAAAAAGGCCATCTCTTGATCAATATTTGCAATATCTATATTTGTCAGGCTACAAGTCAATACCTGAGTTGAGTTCAAATTTCAGAGCAGGTTCACATTTCTTGAATGATATGTTGAGAGTGCATTCAAATTTCACATTCAAATTTCAGACGGGGCTCACATTTCTGTGAATGATATTTTTACAATGTAGGCTAGGTTTACATTTCTGTAAATGAAATTTTGAGAATACATTCAAATTTCAAGCTAGGTTAACATTTCTATGACTGATAACAATCATTTTTAGCTCGACTATTCGATAAGAATAAGTAGAGCTATTGTAGTCACCCGAGCGTCGGCGTCTGCGTCGGCGTAACCACTTATGTTAAAATTTTTGTAATAGTTCAAATATTTTCAAAGTCCATTGACATATGGCTTTGAAACTTTGCACACTTGTTCACCATCATGACCCCAACCTGTAGACAGGAGGAGGTAACTCTATCAAGCATTTTGACAGAATTATGCCCTTTTTTCGACTTAGAATTTACGTTAAAGTTTTTGTAATAGTTCAAATATTTTCAAAGTCCATTGACATATGGCTTTGAAACTTTGCACACTTGTTCACCATCATGACCCCAACCTGTAAACAGGAGGAGGTAACTGTATCAAGCATTTTTTTTTTACTATCAAGCACTATGAATAGTCGAGCGTTGCTGTCCTACTGACAGCTCTTGTTAATGTCATTGTTGTTCATTACTTACCAACCAAGCAGAAAATGGGGGGAGTGGTTAAGATCATTGGCTAAGCATCGGTCGCCTCTAACAGTTGTGCTTTAAGATTTTGTAATTTTTGATCCTTGAATGAAATGGTGCTATCCATCTGCCTGTATATGGAAGTTTGGAGGTTGTATATTATATTGTCCTTGTGCCTGAGGTCTTACTCCACCAATAAAGCTGCAAATTTGGTCCCAGATGACCTTTACAATGTCTGTTATAACATTAACCCAATAAAAAAAATGGAAAAATGATATGGAAAAATTTTAACCCCTTTTGGTAAAAAAACAAAACAAACAGGTTTCTGCTTGTGAAGAAGATAGACTGTCACCTAGTAAACTATTTAGATACAAATGTACTGCCATAAAATTTAACACAACCTGGAAGTAGTATTAAAAAAAACAACAAAAAATAATTTCCTTATATGGATCATACATTAGTTTGTTTTGTCAGACAGTGACATTTTTTCTAAAGAGTTTTGTCGGGGAAAGAAATTGCTGTGTATATTCAATTACCTGGCAATGACATCTGAGAAATATATATAGTAGAGGTATTCCAAATACAGAAGAAATTTTAGTGTTTTGGCACAGCAAATTGTATTAAGATGCATTTTAGGTGACAAGGTGTAAAGTACAGCCAATTTTCTGAGTACCATATTTAGCTAAGTTTAAATTGCAGTTCAATAAATATGTCTGGTATTTTATAAAAGAGTCGACCTTTACTAACACCGAAACATTGCCCAAGATCACTAGTTTAGGAGACTTTGGGATATGAATAAATAAAAGAAATACAAGATTGTTTGTTTAATTAATGTATAAAATGGACCAGAAATAAAAGAGTGGTTATAGAACCAATTATTTGTGCTTATTTTACCAGTTAAATGATAGTGAATACAATGGTATGTTATCCTGTGTTGTGGTTGTGAAGTTTGGGGATGCGACTTTACACTGTTAAACTATAAATAGAATTTGTTCTTGTGGAAACTTAGTTGTTTTGGTGACAATTTAGTTCTTTATTTCTATTCAATTTGAAGAAAAGTTACTTTTGATGACTTTAAAGAATATATATATTTATTCATTGAAATTAAATATGTATTCAATTTTTTCTTCTTTCTCAATGACACAGTGACGTCATTAACTGGATGTCTTTACTGTTTTCTAAGCAGGGTCTTCGATTATTTTCAGATAACTGTTCCGTATTCAATATACATCTTAAGTGTTTTGTGGGATTTAAGATAAACAGTTGACATTTCTTTCTTCTAAAGCTTATGCATAATAAATATGCATTTTGCACTGATGTACATAAATATTGTATTATTTTTGAGGAATATTTATAATATACAGTATCTGTATATGCCATGCTTGTCATGTTTTGTAAATGGCCAATTTGTTTTCCCTGCATTATGCTAATGAATAAATGAATATATTGTTATGTTGTATTGCAGAATATAATAGATTTGAAGCCAAAATTCAGGATTTACGGGAACAAATGATGAACACAAGTACTGGTAGCTTACAAACAACGCGGAAACGTACACTTTTTGTTAGGTAAGAAGGAATAATTTAAAATTTTATTCCTCCAGATTTTAGTAAATGTATTTGATACCAATTTTTCTTGAGTATAAATTCTTTTTGAAGTACAGGTACATTTTCCTGATTGTCAAATTAATAATCCAGTATTATCAATCCAGTAGTTGGTCATTTTCCAGAAAAATTGGTAATTACTGTTTAGTTATCTAGGAAAGCAAATAAGATGGAACAACCTCTGAGATCAGACAAAAACCTGTGTTTAAAACGGCTGAAAAAGAAAAACAACAACAAACTTTATTGATGTAATCGTGACAGCTAACCAATTCATGGGTCAGATCCTAGCTATGCCAGAATATCAGTGGTTCTACTTTGATTCCAACCTGTGTCTTACTTATCTATAGCTCAGGCATGTGAGGTCTTTGTCCTTCAGTTCAGCCAAAGAGTAGCCATGTGACAATGGCAAGGTGACTTAAAGCTGAACTCATCCAGATGGTTTGAGAAAGTTTTGAAATGTTAATGCATAAGTAAGAAAAATGTATCAAGTGTTTGTTGAATCTAAAAAATTTAACAATCCAAACCACAGTTTATATGTTTTATGCAAAATATGAGTGATTTAACAATTTTTAGTATCATAACTCTAACCTAATACTAGTAGAATTAGGACTTTTCTGTATATATTAATAATTACAGCAAAATGTAATAAATATAAATAATTGAAATTTAAATATTTTATTTTTCAGAGCATTATTTGACTATGATCCTTCCAAAGACAGCGGTCTTCCTAGCAAAGGTTTAGCATTTTTATACGGCGATATTTTACATGTAACTAATGCCAGTGATGATGAATGGTGGCAAGCTAAGAGAATTCTTCCTAACGGAGAAGAGGAAGGCATGGGGATTATACCCAGCAAAAAACGGTATGTTTCTCCTAATCCCCAATTCCATCCCCCCACTCCCCTTTCCCTTTGGAGCCTCCTATGTCAGGTTTTTAAAAGCCAGAAATATTTAGAGGCGAGCAGTATCGCTTGACCTTTGACCAGTCGGGAATCAACTAAATTTATTTGTTTTGTGACTTATTTTGATGTAAATGCCCAAAAGGTTTGATTATTTATGTTTGGTATAGAAAGTAGAAAGCTGCTGAATTGTAACAGATTTGGTAACAGATTTTTGATAGAATGCCAAATTAAATAACAACATGGGGTTTGTCACCTGTGTATGGCCAGGGCAGTGTAGATTTGATAATTTTGGCTTCTCAGTTGATAATGTTAGTATATATTTATATTGAAGTCCCTAAATACTCTAATGGCCAGCTCCAAACTCCAGTATGGACAAGTCTATTACACAAATTTAGAGGGTTAAAGGCTAGAAGGTTTCATTTGCATTAGTGAAAAAGAATCAAAAGATAAATTTGCAATATGTATACAGGGCTAACAAAGAGAACTGTTGAGTAAATGTGTTGTTTAAAATTGTGTTGGTTACATTAATAGACAAATATTATTGTTGTTTATGACATGTCTTGTTCATTGTATAAAATTGTGTGTTACTGTTTTATTAGGGTTGAAAGAAAAGAGAGAGCCCGAACTAAAGCTGTCAAGTTTACAGGGAAGAGTAATGCTGAAAAAAATAATGTAAGTTTAAAGAATTGATTAACGACATAAGGTGATTTATAAACAAACAAAATTGTCTTTTATAGAAGTTTTTCAATTGACCCAACAGAAGGTTATTTGGTACCATCCCATGCCTGAACTTATGCTCAGATGAATAGTCCTCTGTCACCTAATGTCCACTTTCTTCATTAAACGTCATGCACTGTTAATTTTAATTATCAGTGCCAAAAAATTTGAATTAACCCTAATCTTGCTGGTATGGAAAGTGATAAGTCTTTGCCATCAGTATTATACCAGGCTAGCTTGCACATCCGTACAGTCTTAACAAACTACTGTTGGTAGTACAATATTTTGTAGTTTGATATTGAAATCCCTTTAACTTTGAATGGACTGAATGAATTCTACATTATAAAATGTTTTGATTTGTTTTCTAGCTTACGTTGAATGACCGAAAAAAGAAGAATTTCTCATTTTCACGACGGTTCCCGTTCATGAAGAGCAAGGACCAGAGTGGTAGTGAGGACATCAGTTGTGAAGAACGTATGTATTTTAATAAAACACAATTCAATTGTGAAGTACAAATGTATTTTAATAAAAACACCCTCCAGTTGTGAAGAACAAATGTATTTTAATAAAACACCATTCAGTTGTGAAGAAAGTGTGAATTCTAATAAAGCACCATTCACTATATTAACCTATTTATTGATTCATCATTTTGTTTGGTAATTTTGATAACTGGGAGAGAATTTGAGCTAAGCTAATGAATGATTCAGACACTTATTGGTTAATATGCTTTGTTAGGTTATAGGTAAAAGTAAAACAAATGATTGATTTATATAGTAATTGGGTAATGTGCTACATAAGGTTATAGGTAAAAGTTAAACAAATGATTAATTCACACTATTATTGGTTAATGTACTATGTAAGGTTATAGGTAAAAGTTAAACAAATGATTGATTTATACAGTTATTGGTTAATGTACTACGTAAGGTTATTGGTAAAAGTTAAACAAATGATTGATTTATACAGTTATTGGTTAATGTACTATGTAAGGTTATAGGTAAAAGTTAAACAAATGATTGATTTATACAGTTATTGGTTAATGTACTACGTAAGGTTATTGGTAAAAATTAAACAAATGATTGATTTATACAGTTATTGTACTACATAAGGTTATTGGTAAAAGTTAAACAAATGATTGATTTATACAGTTATTGGTTAATGTACTACGTAAGGTTATTTGTAAAAGTTAAACAAATGATTGATTTATACAGTTATTGGTTAATGTACTACGTAAGGTAATTGGTAAAAGTTAAAGAACAGATTGATTTAAACAGTGAATGGCTTATGTTCTATGTAAGATAATAGGTAAAAGTAAAACTAAGAATAGATTTATACAGTTATTGGTTAAATTTATAGGTAAAATGAAATTAGTGATTGATTTATGAAGTTATTGATAGATTACAGGTAAAAGTTAAACTAGTGATTTATAGAAACATGTACAATATTTGGAATTTTTGTTGGAGATCAATTCTGTTATTATTGTGCAATGAATAATAAATAATTCAATAAGTCCCCATTCATTTGATCATAATAAAACAAAGATGTGCAACTTTGGTGTAGGAGCATTCATTATATGAGCCGTGTCATGACAAAACCAACATAGTGTGTTTGCGACTAGCATGTATCCAGACCAGCCTGTGCATCCAGCAGTCTGATCAGGATCCATGCTGTTTGCTGTCAGTTTCTCCTCTTGTAATAGAGTTGGTAAGCGAACAGCATGGATCCTGATCAGACTGTGCGGATGCACAGGTTGGTCTTGATCCATGCTGGTCGCAAACCCACTATGTGGTTTTGTCGTGACGCGGCTCATATGATCTGAAATTTGCATTTTAATCCTTTCATTTCTATGGGGTTTTTACGAAGAGTGTTAAATTTGATCTAAGAATTTTAATGAAGCTGTAAATATTGATGATGCCGCTTTATTCTTTAATAAAATAGGTACTAAAAAATGGGTGGAGAGGCACGGAGCTTTACAAAGACACGGGCGCAGTATATTGCGTTACTCAACTCGGACAAACAATCATATAATAAGAGATATCGCATGTAATACTCATAATACAGTCTGCGTGCCAGACCTCATAAATATTTCTAAAAAAATCATGTACCCATTGTATGGAACGATTCATGCCTCCAATCTGTTTGCATCGTACTAAAGCAAGACAAATTACGTACATCTGTTTATTGATTCTCCTTTTATATATATAAATATAAATATATATGTATATATGTATGTCTGTACTAAAATATTGAAAGAAATCCATGTGCATGATAATATATATATATATATTGCATCTGTGAAATATATAAATTGATAAATTTCTTCTTTTTTTTATTCATTTGTTGCATTTTAGCGGAAGGTAAAATTCTACTATACCTAATCTTTTTCTATGTATATTTATATAGCTTTAATAGCTAGACTATATGCACAGCTTGTTTTGTACTCAATAGCATAGTATTTCAATAGCATAGCATAGAATAGCATAGCACAGTACTAGCTTTCTCCAAAAACACTTCTCTTTGTAGACTTTAGTCTTTTGTGCTATATAGTTAATATAACTAAATCTTTATAACTAAACTGATATATAGTTAATATAACATATATAACTAAACTGATATATAGTAAATATAATATTTATAACTAACCTGTTTTATAGTTAATATAACATATATTACTAAACTTTTATATAAATAAATAATAACTAATAGTTATAAAATTGATATAGCCTTTTTGATATGAAATATGACATAAAAAGTGTCCATCACTTCTTTTTCTTTTCTATCAGATAATTGAATTCTAACAATGATGGCATAATATTGATTTTAATATTGATTTATTGATGATATTGATCATCTAACTAGTATGAAAAAAATTCATAGAGGTTTTTTAATGCTTGACTCATTAAGAGTTTTATTTATGATCCACGATAACAATTACATTAAAACATGTTTTACTGTATTCGTTAAGGATCGTTACCAAGGTCATCTTTTTTTTTAAACCAAAAGTCTTAAATCTGCTTTTCTTCAAGGGCAATAACTCTCGTAATTGGTTTTTGTCAGAGTTATGGCCCCCTTTTATGCATTTTTAAAGGTTATTTATCCCTTAGCTTGCTTGGGGTAGCACATCCATGCAGTCTGTTCATGGTGTGCTCTGTTTGCTATCCAGTTAGGAGTTACCGGTATTCTGAAATTTTCATAGTTTTGTCCAGATTGAAAGATGGGAAAATCCATTTTGGTTATTTAATGAGGTAGGGGTTAATAAGTGCTTTCCATTAGAATATTCACCCTTACATTGTATTCACCTAATTGTACACTTATTGGTAAAACTTCCAATTGAAGCAGTAATTATTTCTTAAATGAAATGATTTGAAAAAAAAAAATTCTTCCTGTTGGAAAATATTTCCCTCTTTCCGAGTCCTGCAGTCATCAGAATAGCATTGCAGTGTTAAGTCATTTACGGACTGGCAGTATTGATGCAAAATTGATCGTCTTGATAATGGAGTCAAGTACATTGAAATGTTATTGTAAAGAAGAGTGTTACAATAACATGGGGCTGCTGAAACATGCTATTGATCGAGGCTTTTAATTTAATCACTTTTAGATGGAAATATCACTTTTATATGATTCGTCTTGCAAGAGTTTATTTGAAATTTAGAAAGTGGGTGTTTTGAATAGTTGGTGAACAGATATATCTTATAAATGGTGTTAAATCTTTAAAATTTAGTGATGAAAATGACTTTGCTATGCCACCAGGGTATTCTCAGGCCAGCCTACACATCTGTACAGTTTGACAAGACTGTATTGTTGTCTGGTGAAATTTTGCTTTTTAATGTTCAAACAATTAGAGCTAGGTGTGGCCTAGCAGTTAAAAATTTGGATAAGTAATCTCAGTAGGATTGTTGACTGCGTTGGTTCATATCCTTTTAATGGCAAGCTACTCTTCTTGTTCAGTACTGGTTGATTCCAGGAACAGATTCAAAGTGTGTCTATAAGCTTATATCTTCCTACACAATCAAACTTAAATAAATTCGATTTCAACTAAATCCCCTTAAAATAACAATGGACAGTCGAGAAGAACTTTTGATACATGTCCTAGCTAAATGGTTCCTCAGCGTCCAAGCAGCTCTACATAATGTTAGGAACATATTTAGGTTAATGGATTATATATTAAGTTATTTGGTATATTTTGTATGTTTTGCTCATTCTATAGATACAACTCTCAGGTTCGGTCATCAGACAATTATCAAATTTTAAACTACAGCTCAAAATGTACCAGCTCCCCATCTCACAGTACCTTTACTTGCCCATCTGTCTAGGAATGGAATGAGACATCGTCTCAGACATCAAAATTTGACCAAAAATATAGTGCCAGCTAGCTCTAGAGGGTCTTTAAACATAAAACTCAAACCAAACTCCAAATTAAAATGTTTTAATAGGATAAGGTATCGGTTATTTTAAGAGAATTTGTAGCTCTAGACATTGTAGATACTGAGAATCAAGACCTTTCATGACAAGGTGTAATTCAATTTGATTGGATCTATATTGGAAGGCGTGCATGTTTATTACTACTTGATCTTTTATGTCTAGTTAATCTCTCTTTGATGCTATTATCTTGTCTATCTTGTCTATCTGTGGATAACGGGAACTGAACTTACATGCATGTGAGCAGGTAACATTTTAATCCATCTGTCCTGCATATAGGTACAGAATTGTCCATTGGTAGAGTAAGGGATTTTTATGATAAATGCTTAATTTGACCCGTCAGAAGTATTGTGGAGGAGTCTATATTAATGACATCATTCTGACTATATGTCACATGATATGGCTAGCTCTGTGTGACTATGTCACATGATATGATGTCACATGACATTATTCTGGCCAGCTTTGTAGGACTATGTCACATGATATGGCTTGTGCTGTGTGACTATTTCACATGGTATTGTGTCACATGACATCATTCTGGCCAGCTCTGTAGGACTATGTCACATGATATGGCTAGTTCTGTGCGACTTTCTCACATGGTATGATGTCACATGACATCATTCTGGCCAGCTCTGTAGGACTATGTCACATAACATCATTCTAGCTAGCTCTGTATGACTTTGTCACATGGTATAATGTCACATGACATCATTCTAGGTAGCTGTGTTTGACAATGTCACATGGTATGATGTCACATGACTTCAATCTAGCCAGCTCTGTGTGACTGTCACATGGTACGTTGTCATATGACATTATTCTGACTAGCTCTGTGTGACAATGTCACATGGTATGTTGTCATACGACATTATTCTGACTAGCTCTGTGTGACAATGTCACATGGTATGATGTCACATGACATTCTAGCTAGCTCTATGTGACTAAATTCAAGGTATGATGTCACATTACATCATTTTTTAAGCTGTTTCAAAAAGCATAAAAACTCCCAAATTTTCCAAAGATAAATAACTGAAACAAAATAAGTTATGAACAATGTTGTACCGCAGTTGTAAATTTAAAATATGCAAAGGTTCTTTATCATTACTGAAAAATGCCATGCCATTTACAACACTGTTAGTCAGTTAATTTTTGTGGTTCTAGGAAATATTTCACATAATATCAAGAAGGAATATTGTGTGAGTTATGGCCCTTGATTTGTGTCAATTTTTGCTGTAGTTCAGGCACCTGTTATATCTACTATAGCTACTAACGGCTTAAAATGAGTCAAAATAACTCAGGTTTAAACATTTATGTAGATTTTTACTAATATTCTAACTGTATAGTGCATGATTTTGGTATTGTTATAAAATTTGAAATTTAATTTTATGTAAAGTTTGCTCTTTAAATATGTGATATTAAGTAAATAATTTCTAGAAAAAAGTTGTACATGTAGCTCTGCATGTTAAAATTGCATGTTCCATAAAGATGTTTAAAACACAAATTTATTTCGTTAAAATAACATTCAGCTTGAGAAAAAAAATAAAAGCTTGAGAAGTTTTGTTTGTAATTTTATTTTGTTTTATTTGTGTGATGAATAATTTTACGTTTTTCTCTCTTACTTTTAGGTGCTGATAGTGAGTCTAGTTTCAGTAAGTAGTCTCCCCTTCTTTTGTTTTCCCCATTTGGCCATGTCAAATTTCATATTATAATTGTAAAATATAATTATAAAATGTAACTATGACAGAAAGTGGTTGAAAATCATAATTGGAGCACTGGAAAGCTCAGTATTCTTGTCCAAAATTCTGAGATGAGTATTTTTATCAAGGAGTCTGCTTAGTCAGTTGTAAGGCAAGTTCTGGTATATGTGTAACACATGTAATTATTTGAATTAGCCTTGGTGTTAAGTATCAAGGGTTGTTTCCCTTATATCATATTAAGAATTCCTTCCCTTAGTTTTGGAATTCTTTCCATTTCATTTTCTGAGATATCTTCCATTTGATTTTGAAAGGGTTCTTTGGCTTTCCATCTTTTCCTTGAATTGTAATGAGGTTCTTTTATCCCTTTGATTTTTCTTTTTGTATTTTTTATTTTTTACTTCCTGTCTGACAGACTGTGGAACAATTTGGCTATATTTGGCTGTGAAATTGACTGGTAAAGAAAATTGTCTCAGGCAGGTCATGACATACCGTCTATAATGAATCTCGACGTTCGAATTTCTTCTGTTTTTTTTTTTTCAAGAAGGAAAATCTGATACAAAGTCTGGCCCCGTGTTCACAAAGAAAAGATCAGGATCAGGATCAGGTGATCCTGATTTTATTTTCATTGTTTTATAAACATAAAATTGATTGTATTATTCAAGAATTAAATCGTTCATATTCGAATTGTAAATATTTGCTTATTTGCAAAGAAACCAACCTATTTTGGGATAAAATCAACTAATAACTAAACAAATACAAAAATAATTGGATCAAAATGAGGATCAATTTTAGGATCAAGATCAAAATTTGGATCAACTATAAAATGCCCATTTCTTGTAAAAATAACAATAAATGTATTCTAAACTTTCATAAACATGCTATTTTTAGTCCAGTTTATCAATTTAATATTGAATATTTAATCTGTGAGGATAAATAATGGGGAATATTGGAGTTTTTAAATTTGATCCTGATCTTGATCCTGATCCTTCAATCTTTGTGAACACGGGGCCTGAAGTTTGAAATAACATGTCTGATTGTAGAATATCCCACTCCTTGTGAGATGCGATCATGACTTTTATTACTTTCAATTTGCTTTAGGAGAGACAGTTTTACTTAACAACATATATTTTGATGTTGTTTTCTTAAGTTGCATTTTACACGCATACCAAGCATACTTGTCTGTAAGAGGAGTTTAACGATATTATTTGAACATGGTGTCCTTGTCTTTGGAGATATAATGTTATTAGATGCAGGGTTGTCTGTGATGTAACAAAGGGTACAAAGGGTACCATAGTTCTATAATTTATTTCTTTCTTGTCAGGGAAATATCAGTAACATTCTTGTGGGTACTTAGTATTTAATTATATCAGGTCATAGGTCAGTGGAAACCAGGATGTGAAGTGTGTAATACTTGAATTTGGGGAATTGTAGAAGACAAAACTTCCACATTAGACCAGAGTTAATTCTGCTGACATAGGTTGAGATCATATACGAGGGCTGTTCAAAAAGTTTGTGGACTGCGGCTCTACTGTTAACATCTTTTAATTTGCGTATATGATTTTACAAGAGACATATATGAAAATATGTCCTTAATAAACAGTGAAAAAATCAATACAATATGTTTACAAATAAAAATTCTGTGACAGTTACAAATCACAAGGGGTGCACAATCCGGCGCACGCTGATGATGAAACAAAATGACGTTCATGACGTCGCAATATAAATGAAACATTTAACCAACGTCATTGTTTCTGAAAGTACTCTTTTTAGTGTTCAATATCTGCGGATCATATACCAAAACCATTTTTCTGTTTGCGATGATGATCCGAGATATAAAGTGGTCATCTATTCGCTCCATTCTCCGTATAAAGGTCCGAGTGCCGCATACTTTCTGCTCTTTATCGGAATTTTTGAGTAATTTAGACACTAAACGGACAGTGTTATTAAGTTAATTCAATTGTTGATTGATAGTATCAATTTGAAACCGCCCTCGTCCGATCTTTAAACAATATGTTTATCGATGATAAAGAAAATATTTTATCAACTGACAATTATTCTATGCGGTAAATCTACTGAACACCGGCTAGCATTAATTATCAAACGGACCAGGGTAAATACAGGAAATACAAATAATAACTACAAGTATTTAATGTAAATACGCATATATCCTGATGAATGAAATAAAATATTATTTTAATTAAATTAAATTGTTTTGTCAGAATTGAATGCATAGACCCGATGCAGAAATTAAACATGTCGGACATCTCGCAAAACTGTCATAATGCCTGAACTTCTGTAGATCTTTTGCAATTGACGTTGCAAACGTCCAAACAACTTGCCGCTAAAATTATTCGTCGCCCTTTTTGTCTTAGAGCATGTATTTGCCTTATTTAAATCGCTTGCGCGACCTGAAACCAAGAGACTTGCTCGACAACTCATTGTTTTTCGTTAATTTAATCACCTTATAAAAATATAAAGGAGTATACCACATTTATTGGTAAAAATTTCCAAAAGAGCGAATTTCTAGTTTTTAAACGGGGTTTATATTTCCCAACTTACCCGTCTGTCTACTGCTGCCCAAAACCTGTTTGTTCAGCTATTCAACGTCCAAACGACGCCAAAAGTCAGATTTATGTCATTTTAATATTAAAAGATGATTACTTGTATTTAACTTCATAAAACAATCATTTAATTTGTTTCAACATTTGTTTATATTTAAACATTATATGAAAATTTTGGCGTGCGCCGATGTTGCGTTGCCATGGTTATTAAAGTGCACATAACTCGTAAAGGAAATAAAAGTTAACAATAAAAGTAAATTTTACTTTTGAAAATAAAGACACTCTTTCGATTCATATCCACTAAGGGTGTTTTTATGAACCAAGTAAAAAATGACAGCAAAAATCCACGAACTTTTTGAACATACCTCGTATGTGATGTCATCACTATATACGCAATGTATACATTTTGTGTACACTTTCACTGTATAGATAGAAGTTCTGTCAAGTAAGGATAAGGCTATTTTTTTTACCTTTAATTAATACAGGAATTTTCTAAACTTGAATAGGTTGAAGACAAAGCTAAGATTATGGTACATAACATAAAAGATGACAAAAAAGTTTTAAAGTTCACCATGGCCAAGCATGCCTCCCATTTTATCTCCCTTCCCGATGTTCTCCCTCACATCCCCCCTGCATGATTATTTTGTTGTCTTTTTTTTTAATTGGTCTTTTTCTATTCAAAGGAAAGTGAAAAAGAAGTAATTATATCATCAGACTGTTTGCTTAATTAAAATATCACAAGTGTGCTTTGAAATCTAAGAAGGTGAAATAAAGAAACTTTAGCTTTAGATTTTCCATCTACAAAATGAAAAAAGTTTAATTTCTACAGTTGAGTTTGTTGCAATAGATATTGGACCTTTAGGGGTGTTATTGTATATACAATTGAAATATGATAATGTGAGGAAAATAATTCAACCATTTTTCAAATAAAGTGGAAACTGGTTGTAATTTGAACTTTAAAAAATGTTTATCTCCAAAAAGCTTACCCTTAATATGATACAAAAAAGGACTTGTCTTTGCTACTGCTTACAAAATATTTTGTTTGATATTATAGAAATTAATTATTATCAATAAAAAGATTGATCATTATCAAAGTATAGAAATATTGATTATTGTATAGAAATATTGATTATTCTTTAGAAATATTGATTATTATTCTATAGAAATATCAAGTGCATAAGTGAAAATTTCAGGATCATTCCTATATTTAGGATTTTTAGACTGACAAAAGCCATCATTATCTACATAAAACTAATATTTTTTTAAAGAATTTTTTAAATATTGAACTGCTACCCATGTAATTATTTTGTACAAGATATTGATTGTTTAAAATAAAATATTACAAAGGATATTTATAGAAGTGCAAACATTATATTTCATAAAGTTTATTTTTATTTTAACAGGAGGAGATGAACCAATTCTTTCTTATGAAGCAGTGGTTCAACAAGAGCGTAAGTGTTTCATTGTTTGTTTGTTTGATTGATTGATTGATTGATTGATATATTGATTGATATATTGATTGTGTAAACTTACTCCAGATGAGTTAACAAAAATGTTAACACTTAGACTTCTAGGGGTTGCAGAATCTACCCGTGCAACCAATGCAGACCAAGATCAGGTGGCACACATCAGTCTATATCATCAAAATTATGGTCTTTTCTGTTCACTATTCAGTCAGTTTATATTTTGAAATTTTCCCTACAAATTATGAATGGTTTTGTGTAAATTGAAAGATAGATAAGTCCATTTAAGATATTTATTGATGTTTGCTAGAGTAACTGTTGTCATATAGTTATAATTAAAGAGAGAATGAAATCTGATTCATGGGTGTTATTCAAACTTTGAGTGATCTTAAAATCAAGAAGGAAAGAGTGGAAAACATCTGGGCTCACTGATCTTGTATTTTAGTAATTAAATATGAATTTTTTGCAAATGTTTTTTTACATATACAGTAAGAAAAATGTCTTTGGAGATTAAGAAATGCATGATTACTTGCCAATATTCCATCAAATATCTTTCAAAAACCCAGGCGGCTAATATGTTAATAGCTCCATTATTTTATGTTTCATTATAGATCACAATTACATTAATACGATCCCAATTAAGCAAAAATTAGTTTTGAAAATTTGTTTAAGCCCTTCAGCTGCTAATGTTATTTCATTATATGTAAAATGTTTGATTTTTCAGTGAAGTATACACGTCCAGTTATAATTCTTGGTCCACTTAAAGATCGTATTAACGATGACCTCATTGCAGAGTTCCCGGAAAAATTTGGTAGCTGTGTGCCTCGTGAGTATTCATTTAATTAATTTAGTTCTCTTTTGGTCATTGAGTTAGTCCTCTTTAGGTACAATGTTAGCATATTATGTAACATATTATAAAATTTATATCATAATCATGATATCATACAAGCTTTGAAAATGCTGATGATGACGGATACTTTTAGTTCAGAACAAACCACTGAAGGTAGTTCGATGTAATTAGATGCAGACAATGCTTGAGATAATGGTAGAGAATAGCATTGGAGTGAACCTTGCCAGTTTTTAACATTGAAAAATTTAACCAGGCCTTTTCTATTTATTGTTAGGTCAATTGTTCACAAACAGTTTGACAAACAAAACCTTTTTTGAATATATATATACCAGACCAACAAATGGATATATTTTAATTGTCCCACATAGCCAGTGAGCCTATTTGCTTAAAATATTTTTTTAAAAAAAACTGGAAAGGTCTGCTATTCTTCCACCAAGAAGAGCTGAATGTCTCCAAACTATTACAGTTACTGCTTTGTATTTAAAATAATCCAAAAGATATGCAAAACCTAGGAAATTAAATGATTAAAAGTTACAATCTTACAACCTTAAGGAAACTATCATTTGTTTATTGACTATTTTTCTGTCACAGATACAACCCGTGAACCTCGAGATCACGAGCTAGATGGTCGTGACTATCATTTTGTTTCCTCACGTGAACAGATGGAGCGAGACATTCAGAACCATTTGTTTATAGAGGCCGGACAATATAATGAAAACTTATACGGTACCAGTGTGGCTTCAGTGAAAGAAGTTGCAGAAAAGGTAACTATTTCTGATGTAAGGTATTCTAAAGTAGATCTACTTGTACATTAAGATTTTAGACAAATTTTGGCTTGTTTACTTAATTGTGCATGCAGTGATATAAAGAGGCCTGTGTTCACAGTTTTAAGACACCTGTGTTCAAATTCTTGTGAGGACTGTGTTCACAGCCTCAAGAGGTCTGTGTTCACAGCTTTGAAATACCTGTGTTCACAGCTTTGAAATATCTGTGTTAGCTTTTAGAGACCTGTGTTCACACACAGCCTTGAAAGGCTTCTGTTCACTGCCTTGAGAGGCCTGCATTCACTGTCTTTGAGAGGCCTGCATTCAAAGCTTTTTGTAGCCTGAGTTTACAGCTTTGAGAGGCCTGTGTTCACAGTCTTGAGAGGCCTATGTTCATAGTCTAAGAGGCCTGTGTTAACATCCTCAAGAGGCCTGTGTTCACAGCTTTGTGAGGTGTGTTCACAGCCTTGAGAGGCCTGTGTTCACTTCCTTGAGTGATCTATGTGCACAGCCTTGAGCCAGACCTGTGTTCACAGCTTTGAGTATTGCTAGCTTGCATGACTAGCAGCTGCATTGTGAAAGAATTTTATGATTTTAAGCAGCCAATTAAGTTACAATGAACAATTTCAGAGTTAAAACAGGAGAGGTGTAATAAACAAAATTTAAGGTTAGTATACTTGCCGTTCCGAATTGCGAGTATGATTCCCCAAGTGGGTGTTTTAATTATTTAAATAATGTGCTTCTTAATTGTAGTGTTATATGATATTGCCACAATATAATACTAGATGTTGATGATCATATAATGTAACTCACAATAGCTAGGAAAATATTTAAGCAAAAAAAAAATTCTAATTAATTTTATGATTGCAATTCATTGTTAGAGAAAGTGAACTTGTACCATCCCTGCATCAACAATCAAGGAAATAAATGACTTTTAGATCAAAACAGATATTTTTGGCTTCCCTGAACTCTGTAGACGAATACCAAAAAATCAAGAGATCTTAAATGGTTTACCCATCATTGCTTACCATAATTGCGTTTGTACTTTAATGGGATGGGGGGAGACTTCATTAGAAATAAGTGTATTGTGTATTGAATTAAGTCTGTTGAATTATCAGGGAAATTATGGTACAATTATTCTATATGTACTTGAGGAATCCTTAAAGACTTTCTTCAAGGTCTGAATTCAGTTCAAATTGTAATAAGGGCTTGATACAAAAGTATCTGTTTAATTATATATTACAGAGCACTAAGTGCAAGTTGGGTTTGATAGTTGGGTGGGGGGATCCAAGATTTTTGCAAATTAGAACAATTTTTAAATTTCTGAAAACATTTTTTTTGGAGCATCTGAGGTATTTAGTGGGTTGGGTGACGTTTAAGTTCAATTTTATAAATCCTCTATGGGTTTAGCAAAAGAATAACCCTGATAATTTCATATTTTTCATTGGTAGTGGGTTAGGATTGAACAATATGGGAAGCACCTATGAGATGTACTTAATATAGTATTTAACTGGACAATTTCAGAGGAAGATTTGTGTCTTGGTGTTGATTGGTTATCGATAAATTGATGTTAAAAAAGTCTTTGTTTACTGGACTGAAATGTTTTTTTACACATTTTCATGAAAGACTTGTAAATTGGAATCTAGTGGTTATTTATGCTTTCAGGGGAAGCATTGTATATTATCTTTATATTTTCAGGGGAAGCATTGTATATTATCTTTATATTTTCAGGGGAAGCATTGTATATTATCTTTATATTTTCAGGGGAAGCATTGTATATTATCTTTATATTTTCAGGGGAAGCATTGTATGTTATCTTTATATTTTCAGGGGAAGCATTGTATGTTATCTTTATATTTTCAGGGGAAGCATTGTATGTTATCTTTATATTTTCAGGGGAAGCATTGTATGTTATCTTTATATTTTCAGGGGAAGCATTGTATGTTATCTTTATATTTTCAGGGGAAGCATTGTATATTGGATGTGAGTGGAAATGCTATTAAGAGATTACAGGTGGCCAACCTCTATCCCATTGCCATTCTTGTCAAGCCCAAATCTGTAGACTCAATTATGTAAGTGCTGTTTATTATAAAAGGATTGATACATTTTTAAGTAAATAATGTTTTATATAAGAAGCAGGAGTGGTTAAAAGTCAGTGAATTTAAGTGATGATGCAGGATTTTTTGGAAAGTTTACATAACAATTTGAGATTGAAATTGTCATTATTTAAATGCTGTTTAAACTCGAGTGGTTAGTGTTATTAATATTATGATGTTAAACCTAATTGTTGTTGCAACCAACCTGATGGGAGACAAAGTTATGTTCAAAACCAACTTTGAGTGCAAAAATGCTGTAAAAGTAAAATAAAAGGTTTTCTTGTTTATGTCATAATGTCTACATAAATACTTGATGTATGGTCTAAATCCTGACCACATCTCTACAGACATGACGGTTCTGGTAGTTTCTACCCCGGTGAGGCACAAAGTTGTCATTTGTAATCGATATAGTTAACAAAACTCATGGCACAACTCATGGCATGAATATTTACGATTTATCATATTCTATAGGGAGATGAATAAAAGAATAACAGAAGAACAGGCAAGGTTGTCATATGATAGAACAGTGAAGTTGGAACAGGAATTTGGTGAATATTTCACAGGTATGTAGTAATTTTTTGTGAAAAAATAAAGCTTGATCATTATTGGCCAGAGGATGTAATAAAGTCTGTGGCCAAGTGGTTAAGGTAGTTGCCTTTAAACCACTTGCCTATCACTGCTGTATGTTCAAGTCATGCCAGCATCTTTAGATTCTATATGTGAGAAAGCTATCCAGCTAGCTTGCAGAATGTCGGTAGAACCGGGTGCCTGTTTGTGCTTGAAATGATGTACAGAGGCGCACATGAGGTCTTCCTCCACCAGTAAGGTTGGAAAGTTGCCTTTTGACCTATACTGTGTTGGTGTGACATTAAAACCTAACAGGTGCTACAAAAAATTCCATTAGTAAGTTATTTGCCCCACTTAGTAATTGAATCCTAGGGAATAAGGATTCTCTGATTCGGAGATATGTATCCAACTAGCTAATGGAATGTCAGTGGTTTTGCTTTGGTGCGGACTTATGCTGAAAAAAAAATGCCTGGGGCGGCATCTGTGGTCTACCTCCATGGTCTTCCTCCACCAGGAAAGCTTGAAATTCACTGTATTACCAGTGCAGTGTTTGGTTAGAATCAAAGTTAACATGTTAAGATAATCAGATGTTCTATTTGTTTTCTATGGCAACAAATATACCAAGACATAAAACAAATAAACCTTTTTCTTCTTTTGTAACTATGTTATTTATTTTCTATTGCAGCGGTTGTACAGGGTGACACAGCAAATGAAATCTATGCAAAGGCTAAGGAAGTGATTCGGGACCAGTCTGGACCGGTGATCTGGGTACCGGCCAAGGACAAATTGTAAACTTTGTAAAATGCTGTGACCCAATTTGTGTGTTCAATTTCTTATAGAATTTGTCCTGTTTACCTGGAAATTAATATGGATACAGATTTCACGATAGTGTATAATCTAGGGAATTAAAAGCTACTAAAATTTTACGATATGTACCAGTATGTGACTTTTATTAGAAATTCAAATTTACCGTAAACCTATCGAGGTGGGAGAGGTTTGATTTACACTGATAATTACTGTTTTACGTACATTTTCAGTTTTAGTCTGAACTTGAAGGTTAGTTAGTCGACAAGAAATTTGCCAGGATATAATGTAACGGAAACAATGTTTATATATATTGTTTGGTATCGGAAAACTGGTGTCGGAAACAAAAATAATGGACAGAAAGCCATTTATAAACATTTTTAAAGTCATTATAATTTTTTGTAAAAGATGTATGAGGACATTCTTGACTTGATGATTATGTAAGGTATTTACAGAGATGTGTAATTAGGATAAAAAAAGACATTTTAATGATATGATAGGGGAAAAAATGAACAAAAACTGCCTCAACGAACAGTGGCAACTGCTATTCACAAGTGAGAGTGAAAGAGTAAGAAAGAAGAAATGGACTTTTCAAGAGACAGAACAGTTTTACTAACAAAATTGGTGTTTGAGTATCAGTGAATGGACGGACAGACGGGTAATGGTGGAGGTCTGTGTAGAAACAAGTGCTTTCCTTTGATTTTATGAACACTCTTTAAACATGCCATTCATTTTGTGAGTTTTTATAATCGTGATTGGTGGAGTAGGAGTCGTTTTATTCCTTGCCAATCCATCCCTTGTGTAAAGGCGAAGTATCATGTTTGTAGCATAAGACTGTCACTTGTTATAAAAGTCAATCTATTATATACATAATAAAGCCACAGGCGTTGTTTTTTAGGGGTTTTTTTTGCTACTTTTTGCTGTCTGATATTTTTTGCACATGATTATGCGTATGATAAATTAAAGAAGCATTTATTGTTTATTTAGATGAACTTTATAACACACTAACACTTAAAAAAGACACTCTAATTCAATTAATCACAGTTTGAGCAAGTGTTTTGTTGCCTGTGTGCAACAGAAGTTGATGACGAATTCTATTTTTTTCGTCAGCATTTTGTTTATAGATTTTTTTTATGTACATCAATACACTTGTATTTTGTCTGACAAAATCATATTGTTATGTATCATTTTATATCATGAATGTTTTTTAAAATCATATATAATATTATACAAAATAGTGATGTACCATATGCTTACTTGTTGATTAGGGAATACTTTTTCATTTTTTTTGAAAAAAGCAGGAGTTTTGTACCATTACATGTCAGGTAACCTGTAGAAATATTGCAGTGAATGCTTGACTTATCTGTACCAGAGTGATTAAGGTGGTTTCATTTGTTTCAGACCAATTTTTTTTTGTACTCAACATTTACACAAAGATTTTATAGTTTATTGATTTATATATTAATTACTAAGTTCGTTTTTTGTACGAGAAAGTTGGTGTAACCATGGAGAACTATTCCCTGATTAACAATGACCTGGATTATCATATCAGAATGTACATATATAATATTAAAACATGAAATAATGTAAATATTAAATCAATTTTTATCATGTATTCTTAAAAACACAGGATTTCTAGGGAGAATATAGTGCAATGAATTTGTTTTTTCATGTTTTCTTCCTTTTTTTTGCGAACATGAAATCCCCCTTTTTTTCTTGATAGATTGAAAATTTGCTTTAATTCACTTTCACTCATCAAAAAACTTTATTTAGCAAAAGTAGTTACAGATGATGTTGCTCGTGTGGAAGGCTTTTGTAACAGCTATTGGTACAAGTTGTGACCTCTGCAGGAGGCTTATGTAACAGCTTATTGTACAAGTCATCTCCGTGGGAGGAATTTGTAACAGCTATGACCTCCCCAATAGACGGAGCTGCTTATTATACAAGTCATCACTTCAGCAGGGAGGCACTTTAAAAAGGATCAGATACAATATTCCTGCATTGAGGTCACAATGAGTGGTTTTGCATATCTTTATTTTCCTTATGAAGCAGGCATTGCATTTTAATTTTAGCCAGTGTGACTGAATTATGCTGAATGAACATTATTCATGCATGTATGACTCACTCTTCTGTTTCTGTCTCTATAGAAACATAGTTAAAAGCTATATGACAGCTTTATCAGGATGAGAACATGTGTGTAATTTTTGAAGGCCACTTTAAGCTTTCTTGCTCTGAATGGACTGGAACAACTTCACAAATATGAAAGCATTTAAGTAAGTGAAAATAATAATTATAACCTATTTCAGGGCATTAAGATCACATTGAGTCAGTTTGAACAGAGTTGATTGTAATTTTCATGATGTGTAATTTAAATGAATCTCATTTTAACATACAATATTGCATTCTGGCGATCCCAAAAATAAATAAATGTAACTTAACAATAAATTTAACCCACTCAACAGCTTTTGAAGCTGAATATTTTATAATAGGTACAGGGGAAGCTTAGTTTCCTATTTGGTGCATTGTGTATTATCCATTCTGAATTCAAAAGCTAGCACCTGTTTTTCTTTTTGTGCCATATTTTTCAACTACCTAAACTACTGATATGTTAACAACGAGCAACTTCCTCATTTAACTCCAACAGCACTGGTGGGGAAAAATCGTGGCTCATGCCTTCAGAAAGGAGTCATAGCACTCCGACTTGGCGCTGTTCTACTGTATTTTTTCTGTATTTTGATCCAAAGATCTCCTAACAGGAGAATAAACTAGTTTTAATTCCTTAATTTGACAAAATCCATTGAAGAAAATATAAAGTCAATTTAGTTCTCGGACACAATTTTTATAAAGAATTTCTTTTTCAAAAAAACATTTAAAAAATGAACAACAACAAACTATTTGTTGGAAAAATGATTTCTAATTTTACTTTGCCACTATAGTGAATACTTGATGCAAAAATGTTTTGTCGTCTTTGGGTTGAATAGTGATTATTTGGGTAGATATACAACTTGATGGGAATTTTTTTTTTTAACTGGAGATAGCTAAAGGCAGGAAGTACATGTAACTAAATTTTGCTTTGTTTTTAGAATTATATATAATTGAAAAGGTAGCTTTTAATTGTAGCATATATTAGAATTGCACTTATTTGACGCAAGTTATTTATAGCCTTTTCTATCACAGACAATTCTGTACATTTTGTAATCTTGATGCACTAAGCCCCTATATTTTATGTAAATGTTGAATAGTTATATAATCACAGCAGGGGTTTTCTTGCTTTAAAAAAAAATGGCTTCTTTTTTTTCTTCCTTTCCTAACAATTCTACCTGTATTGACTTTATTTATATACGGTTTTTACTTATTATGCCATGTAATATAGATGTATTTTTTTGTTTTATATGTATATATTAGCATAACTTAGCCTAATTGAAGAAATATGTTTTGATCTTTTTTCAGTGGTGGTTACAGGTCTATAATTAAGCATAACAGTAGGTGTTGTTTTTTTTGTGTTAACATGTTTTATGATTCTGTAGCTGCATTCCGACCAGTCAGTTTGCTTAACACGTAATCTGCTGAATAATTTAGATGGACTTGTCCCACTTCCATTTTTGGGACTGTCCATTATCAATTTTAGGGACATCAGTTTGAATATTTAAAGTTTGTCAGCCAACAGTATAGAGCCTGGTCAGACTGCACGGATGCGCAAAGGCTTAACGCTTTCGGTTCCAGCACTTTTAAGGGCTAATTACACGTCTTGTAGTGAAACAGTTTGAAATTTGCAAGAAAATAATATCAATTCTATCTTAAATTTTCTCCTATTAAATAATGAAGTTGTGATGTTTTTTGCACATTGGTCCGAGACTATTTCGGCATCTTTGAAAGTAAAAGTCGGAAAATCAGAATCTAGTATAAATCAGTATCAGAAAGCATTTTTGTTACGAGCCTTTGAAAATAAAACAAAAAAACATTTGTGTTCTTTAAATTTGTAAAGCAATTCTTTTTTGGAAAAAAAAAAGCCATTTGGGGATTATAAAAAAAAACTATTTTCTAAGGTAGGTAACTCTGATATGTATACTTAATTAAGAACCATAATCAATAGTCTCCCTTAGTTAAAGCTGTAGATTTGCATAACAGTAAGCAAACATTTATTTGTTTCGTAATTATGATTATTTTTGTAGATAAAACATTTTGAATTTTTAACCCCTGTTACTTTAATCATGTTAAATGTTTTGAAATGAAATGGTTGTGTTGTTTATATCCTGTTGAAATAACAGGACAGGCTTTTGTAGTTTACACTGCTCAAAATTTTTCAGTTTTCACCGTTTTATTTCTTTAATTTGCATCCATACATTAATATATATACATTGTATATCTATATATCTTATAGCATATTTGACAGGTTTTTATGAGTAGAAAGTGTGAAGTCATCATTGAAGGAAAATGAAAGTACTAAACATTTTTTTCAAATATTTGTATTCGGATCACTTACAAATGTTTTGTAATGGCTACATGTGACCATTTGAGATGTTATCTAAATGATCCTGCTAAAATGTGTAACGCTATATTTTGAATGTCTGAAAAAAGGAAGAGTATGTTTGTATAGGGGAAAAAAGGCTTACCAAATAACATTTTATCTTATCCAGTTTCGTTGCCATTGGAAACATCAGCATTTTTGTTATTATTGACTTTCTGTGTGATACAGTCTTGAATTCTTTTTCATAATTACCATTGTTTTACTTACAATATTTCCATCTGTTTTGTCCAGCGATTTGAACACATTTTTTAAATACCATATTTATCCAGATTGTGACACCCCCCCCCCCACACTCCCATAGTGTGACATTTTCACCTGCTTTAATGGGGGTGGGGGATAATTAATAAAATTGGTGCGCACATTAAGAGAAGTACGGTAAAAGGGTTAAAGGTCATATAATTACATTACAGTGTTACAGTATTCTATTGTATAAGGTTGTATGTTGTTGATGTGTTGGAATATTTGAACATCATTTTAAAATTTGACATTTAAACAAATAAAAAAATGCATTTAATGTATCATATTTGACCATTCTCTGTTTAGCATCTTTTAAAAAGAATGTTTGGCATGTAATACTCGTAACATTTTGTTTTGTTTGCTTTTGAATAAAATCAGTTTGATATTACATCAATAAAAAAAAAACACATTTCAACTTTGGATGTACGTATACAGGGATATTTTATGTTGTGAACATGTTTAGCAACTTTCTCGAATACTGTGTGTTATTAAAAACAAAATATAATAAAAAGAATACTTTCAAATGAACAAACAATAAAGTCACGCTCAAAAAATAGTTTGGATTTATGTAGGGTTATTGATACAAATAAAATAATGGAATGTCATTCACAATTGCATTGTTAACTTTAAAGGTTATGAAATAAAGAAAAGAAAAATACAAGAATAGAGCATTCAGTTGCATCTTTTTATAGAAATGCTGAAATATGATGATACATTTCAAAAGTCTAATTGATGAAGATATTGAAGTGTGAGTTAAATAATGTTTAATAAGACTGGGAACAAAATCAGTTAAAATCAGCTGAACATATTTATTTTCATCAATTACTGCTTTTGTTGACTATAAACAGCAGTAAAGGTGAAATCAACATTGGGTTGTAAATTTACTTTTTAGTCTTTTAAAGGAGGCTTGTTCACACTTTTGAGGATTTTTAGCTCGACTTTTCTATGAAAAGGGGAGCTATCCTACTCGCCCCGGCGTCGGCGTTGGCGTCACACCTTGGTTAAGTTTTTCGTACCACCCCACTTTATTTCAGAAGTATTACAAGTATGGCTTTGAAACTTACCATACTTGTTCACCATCATAACCTCCATCTACAGACAAGAGTACATAACTCTGTCAAGGTTTTTGACAGAATTATGGCCCTTTTTTGACTTAGAAAGTGTATTGAGCTTGGTTAAGTTTTTTGTACCACCTCACTTTATTTCAAAACCATTGGAGGTATTGCTTTGAAACTGACCATACTTGTTTACCATCACGACCTTCATCAACAGACAAGAGGACATAACTCTGTCAAGGTTTTTGACAGAATTATGCCCCTTTTTGACTTAGAAAATACATTGAATATGGGTAAAATCCACTTATTGCCTTAACCCTTTGAGATATTGCTTTGAAACTTTTAATGCTATTTCACATCATTACCCCCATCTGTACGCAAGAGAAGGTAACTCTGTCAAGGATTTGTTTTAAAAATTAAGGCCTTTTATCGACTTAGAATCTTGGTTAAGTTTTTAGTACCAGTCCACTTTTTGACTGAACTGTTTGAGATATTAATTTGAAAGTTGGAATACTTGTTTACAATCATGATTCCCAAACATGTCCAGGAGAAGGTAATTCTGTCAAAGATTTTATTTGAATTATGGCCCTTAACTGTCAATGTTTTGTATTATAGGCAAGCACTAAAAAACTTAAAAAATCTAAAAAAATTCATTCCTATCCACTTGTTCACTTTACCATAAATTATGTCATATAAACATTGCTGTAATATTCAAGGGTATCAAACAACTAGTTCACTTTAAAAATACAGAGATTCTTGTATTGCCTTTTACTGCAAAAACTTTTTTTATTGGCAAGCAATAAAAAAGTCGAGCGCGCTGTCTTACGGACAGCTCTTGTTTTATTTTTCTCGTCAAATATGAATTAGGGATTTTGAGAACTAGAAGACCCATTGTTTGAAATTAAATAACATTATGATTTTTGAAAGACATCTTTAACAATGATTGTCACTTCCCAGAAATTTTGGATTGTTAGCAGTCTATATGTGCAGTCAGACAAGACTTAGTCCTTTGGTTGCTCAGTTTAATTAGTTAAATATAGACACCCTTTGAGCTTATAATTGAGTAAAAGTTAATTAGTAATTAGCAAAATAAGTAATAACACTTCTATAAGACTTGAACTTCATTACCTTCTTTAGTACAATGGAGTTTCATTCAAGAAACAATTATAAATTAAATAAAAATTACTTCAAACTGAATTGTGAACAAGTACCTTTAATATGTGCACATATATTTTTTTTCTGTCTTATTTGTAGAATTTGCTGGGATAAAATGCAGTGCATCTGTGAATAATTCATGTTCAAATGTAAGCATTACTTCCATGATTCATTTGTTAATTTAATCCTTTATATATATGATGAAATGTAGTAGATCTTGATTAGAAAATAAAAAAGCAAATCTTTTTTAATAACTATAAAGTTGTGTTTGTTATTTATTCATAAACCAGACCAACATTCTGCAGTTAATTCCCTTGATGAACTATCTCTAAGTTTTATTACGGGATGTGTTCCTTTTGTACCACACTGTTTGTACGGTCTTAAAAATTGTATAAATTTATGTCCTTATTTTAAAACAAAACAAGAAAAAGCCCTTGAATTTGGTTACTTTCTAAAAAAGAAAAGTGCTAAAATTTGTGTCCCATTTTTAAAAACTAGAGCAAAGTTCTTGAATTTGGTTACTCTTAAAAAGTCTTTTTCTTTAAAAAAAAACAGAAAAGTCCTTGGATCTGGTTACTTTTAAAAATTGCTTAAAGTTGTGTTCATTTCTTTAAAAAAATTGCCTTGAATCTGGTTACTCTTAAAAAAAGTGCTTGAAAATGTGCTTAAATCTGTCTTTAAAAGTGCTGGAAAATTAAAGGATTAGAACACAGTCAATGTAAAAAGTCAATAGTGTTTAACAAACAAATGAGCCCATTTAATAACAGTCAATGAAGAATGTAGCTGTTTGAACCCTTGTTATCCCCCGCCGAAAAGGCGGCGGGGGATATAGTAATAGTCTCCGTCCTTCCGTCCGACATTTTTGTCCGGAGCATATCTCTAAATGTATTTGAGTTATCGATTTGAAACTTCATAGCTGGATAGACCTCATTGAGGAGGAGTGCAGTGCACAAGAATGATAACTACCCTGCATAATTTTTGAGTTATTGCCCTTTGTTATTTTTCAAAATTGATTTTTGTCCAGAGCATAACTCAAAAAGCCTATGAGATATCAACATGAAACTTCATAGGTGCATAGATCTCACTCAGGAGGTGTGCAGTGCTCAAGAATGATAACTCTACCTTTCATAATTTTTGAGTAATTGCCCTTTGTTATTTTTCATACTTAATTTTTCACCTGAGTGGAGCATAACTCAAAAAGTGTTTGAGATATCAACATGAAATGTCATAGGTGGATAGATCTTATTGAGGAGGAATGCTGTGCGCAAGAATGATAACTCTTCCCTATACAATTTTTGAGTTATTGCCCTTTGTTCTTTTTCATGCTACTTTGTCTTGAGCTTATCTCAAAAAGTATTTGAGGTATCAACTTGAAACTTCATAGCTGGATGGATCTCATTGAGGAGGAGTGCAGTGCACAAGAATGATAACTCTACCCTGCATAATTTTTTAGTTATTGCCCTTTGTTATTTTTCAAAATTAATTTTTGTCCAGAGCATAACTCAAAAAGCTTTTGAGATATCAACTTGAAACGTCATAGGTGCATAGATCACACTCAGGTGTGCAGTGCACAAGAATGATAACTCTAAATTTCATAATTTTTGAGTTATTGCCCTTTGTTATTTTTCATACCTAATTTTTCACCCGAGTGGAGCATAACTCAAAAGTGTTTGAGATGTCAACATGAAATGTCATAGGTGGATAGATATTATTGAGGAGGAATGCTGTGCACAAAAATGATAACTCTTCCCTATACAATTTTTGAGTTATTCCTCTTTGTTCTTTTTCATAATATTTTGTCCGGAGCTTATCTCAAAAAGTATTTGAGGTATCAACTTGAAACTTCATAGCTGGATGGATCTCATTGAGGAGGAGTGCAGTGCACAAGAACGATAACTCTACCCTGCATAATTGTTTAGTTATTGCCCTTTGTTATTTTTCAAAATTGATTTTTGTCCAGAGCATAACTCAAAAAGCCTATGAGATATCAACATGAAACTTCATAGGTGCATAGATCTAACTCAGGAGGTGTGCAGTGCACAAGAATGATAACTCTACCTTTTATAATTTTTGAGTTATTGCCCTTTGTTATTTTTCATACTTAATTTTTCAATTCAATTTTTTTTTTTAAAGTATTTGAGGTATCAACTTGAAACTTCATAGGTGGATAGATTTTACTGAGGAGGGATGCAGCACACAAGAATGATAACCTACCCTGCATTATTTTTCAGTTATTGCCCTTTGTTATTTTCAGCCATCAGTATTCACAGGTTTCAAATCTGTAATCACTATAGCCATCAGTTTTCATTACCAAAAGACCTCTTAAAATGGAATTATTCTGCTCTACTACATATACATTCTTCCAATGAGCAAAAACATTCGGCGGGGGATGGCCATGCTGACATGGCTCTTGTTTCTAACTTTGTTCTCCCAGCACTTGCGGGTTTTCTTACCACAGTGACAAATTTACTAGTTATTAGTAAAATGGGGATATATATATCAGCACTAGTGAGGTTATGTATACATATAGGTGTGTTTTCACAAAAGTTCAAAGCTGGGTTTAAATTTCAGGGATTATAAGTCTATTGGACAGTTTAAATTGTTTGTGTGTGTTTGTACTTTTGGTTGTTTGTGGTGATGTAGAGGAGAATCCCAGCCCTCCAAAAAATCAGCGTAATGAGAGTTGGCAGCAGTCTCGTGGGCAATCATCGCTGAATTAATCACATTTAGACTCGCAAGGGCTGTTGTCGGCGGCATCAGCAGTTATCAGACACATGGAACTGGTAGAAAAATGGAGATCTGTAATAGAACCAAGACTCGTAAATTCTAAGACCATCTCCTTTACGGAATACCATGATCTCTGTCTTGTTTAATTTCAATTCCATCCCAGTATCTTGGCAAAATATATCATTAAGTAAATTTACTGCTGTCATATGATAGCAGTTTCTACACTGTTAGCAATGTCTTCCGCAAAATTAACCCTTTCACTGCCATAGGGATGGCATATGCCGTCCCTATTATTTTCGGCGTATTTGCCATATGGATGGCTTTTGCCGTTTCTATAATAATAATTATAATAATAATAATTATAATAAATATATATAGATAAATATACCATCAACAATAATTATAATATACTAAAAGATTTAGAAACATATATAATTATCATTATACCAGGTATGTATGTTAATATACGTACCTGATAATACTAATAACAAATAATAATAATTATATTTATTAATAATATAGTAATTTCTTAGAAAACCTTCTGGCAAATAGGTGATCATTAAATAAATAACCATCTGGCAGCAAAAGGGTAAAGACATAAGTCTTGTATATCGTTAGTTATGAAAATTCCTAGTTTACACAAAAATCTGCTTATTAGTTAAAAGAAAAAAAGATTATGAATTTTGTTGTGCTGCTTTGATCCCAACTGTTTTGTGGAAATCATCAGTAGATAAGTAACAGTATGTAGCACTAATGACAATGAACCACGGATTTATATTAATATAAATAATATGTAATATAAATCCGTGTTTAAACAGAGAAAAAGATAACAACAAAAAGAACAACAAAATAAAATGTTACTCGCAAAATATGCACTTTTACCTGGAAAAAAGGTAAGTAAGTTTATGTAAAAAGCATTGAAGGAAATTATTTAGTGGTGTTCAACTCAAAATTGCACGGAATTATTATACCGGAAAAAAACGGGTCTTAGACATTCAAGCGTTTATCACACCGGGATCATACCGAAAATAGACAGGTTTTAGAGAGTTCTTTTACATTTCACAAAAGTCAGCAATATATTAATGTATCTTATGTGTAATGCCATAATTAAAGTTTTGAAGTTGATTTCTCAGCTGAACTCAATATGTTACGTTTCTTGAATTCAAGAGAATCGGGCGTCAGTGACCCCATACAGTTTTACAGGGCAGAAACCACAAGGCGAGTTTTCAATCTTGGTCTCAGTGAAAATAAAGAGTTTGAAAGACTGTTTGCTGGAAACATCAACACGTTAGATGTGGACCTTATTGAAAGCAGATAGTAAGATATGTTTGACAGTTCTGTTCTTTTATTAGCTAAACAATTTTCAAAATGTTTATCATCATTCATTATTACTATACCTGATTCCTAAAAGTATCCCCGTACTGCCTCTTTCCGATCAGCTAACAGATTTTTCAACAATAACTGACAGTGAAATTATATATAAAAAAATTCTCTTTCAATTCTGCAAATATTATCATTTCAGCTAATAAATGCACCAATTTTTTAAAATTTTACTTGAATTATTACTATGAATCGAGGACAAATCATTACTGACCCATTTTCCTGTTCTTCAAAATTTCACAACCACTTTTCAATCAGTTAACAAAATATAAACTGTACCACATAAAAAATGTCATACAATGTTAAAATATAATTAGTTCTGTATTTTGGAGAAATTTTGACAAACTCAACTTCAGATAAATGGTAATAAACAATTTTAACCTAATTATAATGCCGTTTTTCAATCTAGATATTTATTTGCAGTGGTAAAGCTGTCACAATTGGGGTATGGATGTACATTTCAATTTGCATAACAGAAAAAGCATGTTCTTGTGAAATTTTTAGGATCTTAGGGTCTATATGACCCCATTCTAGTGACTGCTTACTGAAAAGTTATCACAGAGAATGTTTTTCCTTGGTTAAGTAACTGTTACTTTACTGATGTATTACCTTCAAATTAAGAACTGTATGGTAAAATATGTACATATTAAAATTACAGCTTTTGAAGTGCAGTATACATTATGACTTCATGATATTGAAACATTTGTCCAACTTAATATCCATTTATGCAGACTGACAAAAAAACTGAGTCTGTATATCAATTATTTTTAGAAAATTATTGCGATTTGTAACTGTCTAAATAAAGGATTAGTGGAAAACACACGTTTTACATATTTTGAACTAAAATGTTAGCATTTTCTTTTTTTATCGCCTTAATTGACATTGCTGCTGATAAATTTAGTCAAGGGGAATACAAGATGTGCTTACAGTTTGGTTACTTGACAAATAAGGTCAAAAATAAAAAAATTCTAGGGGTGATTGAAAAGTGGTTGTGATTGAAAACTGGCAGTGTGTGGATAATAATGATACACCGATAAACAGTTTCCGAAATAGCAGACGACATATTATTCTTATCAATTGTGTTACGAGTAAAAATAATTGGCTGCATGTCTTTCTGTATAAATCATTTTTAAAACGTCCCATAGGTCATAAATTTAACAGGTAATTTATTTAAGCAGGTAATCTTATCATTTTGGTATACATGACCATATTCTTTAATTTCAGTCTTTTAGCTGGCGGAGCTGAAGGTTTCATTATGATTTATGATGTTTATAACAACACTGGGAATGTCAAATATAAATGTAACTCTGTTGGAACAATTGCCCTCAACAGCCGACATAGACACAAATTTAGTGTGGAGACTGTACTATGGTATCCATTAGACACAGGAATGTTCACATCAAGTGGTACTGACAACCTTCTTAAAATCTGGGATACAAACAGGCTTAAGGTAAAAACTTTATGAGATAAGATACGGACCTATTTATATTGGTAAACGTTATCATGAAATTACGGACCTATTTATATTGGTAAACAATATCATGAAATTTTGACAAAACTTATGTTACAAAATTTTGAATTTACTTTTTTCATAAAAATATCTGTCTTCATGATTCAATTTTTGAGGAAATTTTGTATTCATACTAATTAATGATTATACTTTTTCTCTATTATTTTCAGAAAACTTCTGATTTCAAAGTAATTTGAATGCACAAGGTTACGAGGCAGAAATTAGCTAAAAAAAACTTAAAACTATTATTACTACGAAATAATGTTTGTCAAATAATTCCTTCACACTTTACACGTTGTAAGGAGGATATTTTATCACCTCAGACAGTATGAAATTCTGTTAGTGAATATCTTATTATATCAATAATTGTATATACAGTTGAGTTCACACTAAACTTCCCACCCTTGTGCACTTCTAGTGCACTAGAGCTGAACTAGAAGTGCACTAGAAGTGCACTTCTAGTGCACTAGACCATATGACCAGGCTGGCCAGGGAAGGTGACACCTAAATGGTTTATTGGATAATTGTAATTGTATATCAAGTGGGGGGGCATCCATTGTTACGCTGCTGTATGGAAAAAAAATAGGAAAATATATATATGGCCTATTCATGAATATAAATAAGTAAATTTTAAAATCAGCAGTTTTAACATTTTAGGTGATAATCATGTTGAAGCTTAAAATTAAAATGTTTTTTTTTCCATTTATTGTAAACCAGTATTTAACTGTAAGTGAAAAATAATACCCCTTAAAATCAAATTTATAAAATTAATAAGGTTAAATTTAAATTATGCTCCGTAATGGATAATGAAATAAGTGTTTTTAAAGCTTTTTTTAATGGCCATATATTTCAATTTTTCTAGTGTACAAATGATATAAATCAATGTGATAATTCTGGCCCAATTAATTTAGTTTGTTACATCATAAACTTTTTTTCATAAGCTCAAACAAATCAAGGAAAGGTTATATTTAAGCTAAAATATTATTTCTATAATATATAACTTAGAGACAATTCATCATGTTCAATATTGAAAGAGAATATTAATACATTGATTTTAAAACAATCAATATACTGTGATAATTTAGTATTCAACTGTGTAATCCTTGCATATGTTTATGCAAATAATTTAAATATTATCCATAAAATAAATAAATTTGATATCTTTATTCATTATTTCAATATTAAAAATTTAATGTATAAAGGGAATACTTTTATTGAAGAGGAAAATCTCAAGTCGTGCTGTGTATTGGTATTTTCTGAGAGGGACAGTTTTCAATATACCACTCTCCTGCTGATAAGAGGGCCTCAGGGTAAATAACAAAGATAGGTCAATTTTGCAGATTTATAAGAATGCATTGAAATTCTCTGGTTTTCGCAAAATGCATGTTAGACGTAAGCCTGGGATTCATCAGGCATTGGCACTCAGTAAATGACCATAATTTTTGTATAATCAAATATACAAAAAAAAACAACATAAAGGCATAAATGCATAATAGATATTATCAGAGACATAGATAGATGTTATCTATGTCTCTGATATTATTGTCTCTAAAGCGGAATTTTCTATATGTATCCATTTATCCACATTTCTTGCCATTCTGCATAATAATATCACGGATTTATATTACTATATACTATTAATATAAATCTGTGATAATATATAACTTAAAAGGCAATTCCTCATGTTCAAGATTGAAAGAGAATATTAATTCATTGATTTTAAAACATTTTATACACTGTGATATTATGTTTTTCAACCATAAAATGCTTGCATACTTTTTAAAGATATACATAATTAAAATTTTTCCATAAAATAAATAAACTTGATAACTTTATTCAAGATTTCTACATTAAAAATGAAATGTATAAAGGGAATGTTTTTATACAAGAGGAAAGATTCGAGTCATGCTGTGTATGATAATCACCACATTGAGTATCTTGAAAATAATGTATATTTTCTTAAATTTTTATATTTTTGATAATGAATAAAAGAAGTATAACCATTACAAATGTCCAGTAATATACAAATATATGTACATGTTCATGTAAACAGAAAAAGACCTCAGAAATCTATTTTTAGAAACAACTTTCAATATTTAAGTGATAAAAAGTTCCAGACTCATGTATATGTACCTTAGAAGAAGTACATGTATATGCGATCTGATAAAGGCTTGAAGAAACCCAAACTACAAATGTTCCATAACAAACAAACTATAGTTAAAACTTAACAGTTTGATAATTTTCATTCCACTTATTTTGTTTTACTTATATGAAAGCTATTGAATATTTCTCAGTTATACTGGTACATGTATCTACAAGTAAAATATGAGAGAATTTGCCATAGGACAAGAAGAAAAATGTAGCCTACTAATAGAATTCAGCAACTTCTCGTCCTACAGAGCAAAATGGCTCTGAAATTTTTTGATCCCTGTATTAAACTTTTCTTTTAGATAAGTTTGTTTATAGTTGATTGCTTTTATTTTATTTTGTAGCCTGCAGATCAGTATGAGTTTAGCAGTGTTGTATTCAACCATCACATGTCTCCCATAGCAACAAAACATTGTTTAATTGCCGTAGCAACACAGAGTTCCTCTGTCAAGCTGGTCGATCTAAAATCTGGCTCTGCTACACACAGTCTGAAAGGGCACAGCAAGGGTGTTTTTAATGTAAAGTGGTCACCCTATCATGAATTTGTCTTGGCATCTGCTGGGTAAGATTTGAAGATTTGTTTGTTTTGTTATGTTAAAGGCACATTATGCCTCAGAAATCCGTATTTTTTTTAAAATTCTTAAGAAATGTTAAACATGTGTTAAATAATGTTTAAATAATGGATTAAGTGCATGTTAGATGTTTTTCAACTTGAAAAAGTAGCGCTGTACATGCATTACTGTGTGGTAGAAGTAGCAAAATGTAAACAAAGTACTAGTACTAGTAGTAGTATTTCGACTTCTATACAAAATACTAACTGACTATAATTATACCAAATTATACTAACAAACTAAAGATGTAGGTCATGTATATAGTAAATGAGTATGTTTTTAGAAACTGTAGCAAGATACTAAAACTTACCAAAAAATTAACAGTTTTTGAGAAATAAAAAAGATATCATTTCTGAGGCATAACAGACCTTTGAACACCAGGTTATCTGAATTTCAGTCATATATGAAGGGCAGTTGAGGAATATTTTTTTCTGAATTCTCTACTAGTATAAACATGACAATCAAGTTAAGTAAGACTGCTCAGTCTATATGATTATATTTTTTTAGTGACCAAAGCATATATAATTAAAATGCTACGTGTATTTATCAAATTTATTATTTTTCTTACTGTCACATTGGCTCAAGGCCTGCCCAGTTCTGTGGCTTTAGAGCTGTTATACAGAGCAGAAAAGCTTATATTTCTTATTTCTTCATTTGAGTAAAGTGTTTTACATGTGTTTGGCCATAAGCACTGACCAACAATTTTAGATATACATGCAGTACAAGTAATGTTTATCTAAAATTACTTGTTGTAGTTTTGAAATTTAACTTTTCAGTTCTGACAATAGAATTTTCCTGTGGGACATAAGAAATGCAAAGGGGAGTATGTTAGATTTTGACCAATATAATGGAAGGCCACCTAAAGACATGATTAACAATGGTAAGTTGTATAGTTGTTCAATAAGGTTCAATAAGGTGTTTCAGTATTTTAAAGCCTTACTTTTTTCTTCAGATAAACTTAAGATTTGATAAAATTTCTATAAATAAATGGGTGTAAATTTCACGCAGTACTGTACCTATGTGAAGATTAAATATAAAACCAGCTCTGAATATAAAAAAAGGCCTTGAATTTCTAGTATGTAAGCTGTGCATAACAATCTTTTAGGGGAGGGATGGCATAGTGGTTAAGAAATTGTGGCTAATTTCCATTATGTTTTTGTTGTAAGGTTGTCACATCAAATACATTTAGATTTTCCTATGGAATTTTCCTATCTTTTGTGTCTTACAGTGTAATTATGAATTTTTATGGCTTTTTGTAAAACTTGTTCCTGAATAATAATGCATGATTGTTATGCACAGCTTACATACTAGAAATTCAAGGCCTTTTTTCTGGATCCATGCTGGTCGCAAAGCCATTATGTTGGTTTTGTCATGACGCGGCTCAATTATCTTAATCAGAGGCTTGAGAAATATTGAATTCTAACATTAATTGAAATTTTGTAAATATTTATTAGTTTATTTAGTGTTGAGGTACCTTTACCTTATTGAAGTCTTGAATTTCCATCACCTGACTTTTCTGTAAGTATAGGAATCATTGTAAAATGTGAAATTACAAGCTTTTGCACATTTTCAAAACTCAAATGAATTCAGTACTTTCAACACTTTGATTTACTATTATTATTAGTCATCATTTGAACTAAACTTAACATTTATATATTTCTATAGGGTTTGACATATCATATATAATCTTTTTGAAATCTTGTTACTGAATTTGAAATGCTTGAACATTCATATTTGATATAGAATGTAAACATTTTGATCAATTTTGTTATTTTTATATCTTATAAGTAAAGCTTTTACCGATTTTTTAGTGTTTTCTTGTGTATTTATTACAGGGTTGACATCACATAATCGACCAGTGACTGGCGTTCAGTTTTCTTCAGATGGTTTACGTCTTGTGTCATGCGGGCTAGACAATAAAGCCCATATATGGTGCACACAAACTGGCAAAAATTTAAATCTAGACTTTTCAGTAAATAGCATGGGAACAAGAACTTCACAATTTGCAATATCTCAAGGAAGTGCACCAGATTTGATATTTATGCCAAATGGTAAAAGTATAGATGCATTCGATTTAAACACGGGGAAAAGACAATATACGTTACATGGTCATTTCAGACAAGTTACATGTTGCTACTATCATGCCGATTTTCATGAATTGTATTCCGGTAGTGGTGATAGAAATATTCTAGTTTGGGAAGCAAAAACGGGAACCAGTGTTAACTATGTGTGTAAGAAGGAAACAAAGAGTGTGAAACAGGAACCAGGAAGTGAATTACTGGTGACAAATATGGAACCAGTTACAGCAATACAAGCTACTGCTGATAGTTGGAGTAGTGACGAAGAAACTTGAAATGTATATTTAAGAATAGGAAACAGTTTATATATAACAAACATTGAAAGTTATGAGTTATTTTGGTTTGATCTGAAGTTAATTTCTGTTCAACTGAATTTTTTGGATTTGACTTAACTTGCCTTGAATTTGGAAGTATTGGTGCTATATTTCAGGAGTTACAATATCAGAATACAAATGTTTTGTGCAATATACTACAGTGTCTGGTCAGACCATTGGGTTACCTCAATAGGTAAAGCGTTGGACCATAACTCAGGTGACCGGGATTTGAACCCCGACAGTGGAGTTCTCTTTCGTTGTGATTGATCATGAGATCCTTTTTACCGTCATTTGTATTGTATCTCTGCTCTGGCATATACAGAAAGTTTCAGTACCATGTGAAAATGAAGGCAACTAGTATTGGTAAACTGCTTGACATCCTATCCAGCTGAAATGTGCTCTGGTAAGTTCAATGTGGCTAACTGCCATGATCTGGAGTGAAAATTACCAACACCACCACACATTTACAACAGCTGGCTTGCTGGTTTCATACTGTTCAGTTATGTTGATTATTATGATTTTGCAGCATATAGTTGATGTTTCTGTACTGTTCTGAAAAAATTACTGTCAATTTCAAATTAAATAAACAGACAACTTGTGTTAGTGTGTGCTTAATATATCTCATTAACTTTGATAAACCATTTCTCAGTTTTACTATTCTTGTTGGTTTTTTTTTTTTTTTTTTTTTACAATATTGGGTTTAGGAAAAAAACAAAAGTGACTGAAAAAACTATTTTGAGACAATTATTTCATTTCATGAAGGTCAAGACCATTAACTTGTGTGCAAAATTTTAGATCATTTGCTCACTCCATTTATTCTTATTGTGAAAAATGGTTCAAATTTGAAAACACTTTTCACTTAAATGGGGCAAAGAATGGCACAAAAATTCGATTTTTAGTTTATTTCAGAGTATATTTCTTTGTTATCTCTTGCACATCTCTCTGTTTTAAGTGTCCAAGTTTATTTATGTGAGAAATTTGAATTTTATATTTTTAGTCTTTTGGACCTCAGTGGAGTTCCTTTAAAGGGTCAAGTATTTATCAATATATTTACATATTTGTAATTTAATGTTTATTGTATATCAGTAAACTGGCTTGATTGTAGGTCTGTCTTTTTACACCATAGCATTTAATTAGAATAAATTCGTTGAAAGAAAAGTGAAAGCTTACATTTCAAAAATGTTATATTGTTTATATAAAAAGCTGTACTTTATTGTAACTGTTAAAAAGGATCTTCTAGTAGTTTGGGTGAATATTTTATTATGTTATTGCATTTGCAAGAAGAATAATTTCCAATTTTCGTTGTTTGGTAGAATATTTAATAGAGGATATTGAATGAGTGTAAGTTCAATACTAAATTTATTGCACGAGTTGAATAAAATTATATTATGTGAGCCTCTGACGAGCATAATATTATTTAATTCAACGAGTGCAATAAATTCAGTAATGAACCCACACAAATTTAATATTCTATTTATCACATACCAAAAATAAAGACTGTTTAAAGTGAAATAAGAGTCATTTTTCATTGACGCGCCTAAAGAATACTAGTAACGCTAACATTAAGCGCGTCTTTACGCTAAGTTTGTATAACACTTGTCATGTCAAAATATATGCACGGCCATGCAATACCTTATTTACGGAGTCGCAAAATCGGCACGGGTGTGTGATGAATTATGTTATTGCATTTGTTGCAAAAAGAAAATAATTATTTTCAATTTCAATTTATAAAAACAGTTACTTTTTAAAGAATGAAAAAACAAGTGCATCTTTGATCAGCTTTGATAAAAAAAAAAGAAATCTTGCAAACATTTAACTTTGCTGAAAATTTCAAAGGAAACCTCAAATTCTCCATGTGTTTTTCCAACATTTTACCATTTTCCCTCTGAAATTTCTCTGCCATTTTAAAATTTCCAAAATAGTAAAGTCTTAGGGAGCACAAGAAGTTTTTTTATGTGTTGTTACTTTGAATTGTCCTAGGCAATTTGTGAGAAATAAATTAATATCTTCAACAGATGACTTGTTATTGTTTGTTTGTTAGTTTGTTGTAGAAAAAAGTTGTAAAACATGTATCAATATTTCTCCTCTTATTTGTTCATAATTTGACACTTTATTTAATTCGAACATAAAATTTCTTTAAGCAAGATTGTGATGAAAGCTTGAAAATAGGTTGATCTAAGAAAGAGTAAAATTAGGACCCCTGGGTTTGATGTAAGAAGGACTAAAACTATGATCTCTGGGTTTAGAGACAGACACCTCAAGTACAATGACATTTACTTTATTACTTTCTCGGTTTGTTTTTCTCGGATGGGCGAGAGTTGTTTCGATCAGTCACCGCTGACGTAAATATGATTGTTTGAATATTCGTCACCACTGATAATTTCGTAAATATGATTGTTTGAATATCCGTCACCACTGATAATTTCGTAAATATGATTGTTTGAATATCCGTCACCACTGATAATTTCATAAATATGATTGTTTGAATATCCGTCACCACTGATAATTTCATAAATATGATTGTTTTAATATCAGTCACCACTGATAATTTCATAAATATGATTGTTTTAATATCTGTCACCACTGATAATTTCGTAAATATGATTGTTTGAATATCATGAGCATCGTATGTAACAGTTTGCTTCGGTTCTTTCCTAAAATGAATGAAATATTGAAAATTGAGGAGTTCCTTGATAAGTTTTTTCCCTCAGTGTTCTGTTTTTTGTCTTAAAAACACAAACCGCTAATGCATGACATAGCTACATGTATAATTTATATTTCAGAAAATATCATTTATACATCGATATTAGTGGTTTTAGCTCATACATAATTTATTGTAGTTCGATTGTATATGAAGATATACGCTTATATAAAAATAAAAAGTACTATGTAACGGATGTAAAGCTTTTTGGTCAAGTAATCTGTTTATACTTGTAAGAATATTATATAGAACGCGCCCCTGAAAATGGGAAAATTTTAACTAGACTTTTTGAGTTCAAGCTACATTATTATTTCGCAGTTTTCTGGATAAACGTCACGTGCGCATGTTAATTTTAAACAACTTCATTCTAGTTGACCGAATCATAGTAATATTAAATTTAATTTATTTATTCTTCATTGCAACACGGTTTTCCGTGAAACAAGTACATGTTTGTGGTCTTTAACATGATGGTGTCAGTTATAATATAAGCATTTGAGAAGAGCAAGAAAATATAAATTTCCTAAGATACGTTATGGTTTCAAAATTATGGTAAAATGTACATTGTATTTTCTTCGTCTTGATGTAAAGATTTTACAGTTTATGTCCAAATTTTCTCAGTCGATATTTTTTTGTAAGGAACGACCAGGAAAATTAGATATTATGTTCTATCTCTCTATGTTATTACTTTCTCGTTGTTTTCTGGGATGAGCGAGAGTTGTTTAGATCAGTCACCGCTGATAATTGCTTAAATATGATTGTTTGAATATCGTGAGCATCATTTTACAGTTTGGTTCGATTCTTTCCTAAAAAGCATCCAATATTGAAAATTGAGGAGTTCCTTTATTAAGTGTTTTTCCTCGATCAGTGTTCTGGTTTTAGGTCTTTTATAATGAGAAAACACACACACGCGCAACGTGTTTTTGTTCCTGCTTTTAATATAATTTTAAACCACTCCGCCTTTTGGTCAAGGAGTAGAAACCATTCTTATAGGGTAATGTACAATTATATGTTCAGTCCTAAAAGCAATCTATCTAGTTTTAGTTAGCGAAATATTTATTGATAACTGCTGTAAATGTTCATTTAAAAGTGTTTTTGTATTGTCAGTACGGGATGGTTCCCCAACCCATACTGATCACATCGACGGGGAGAAAAGATTGGCCCGATAGATAAGAAGAAAGAAATACTCCAAGAAGAGCACGCATTACGTATATGTAGCCAGTTCATAAGTTGTGTAAACATCTTTTTAGTGAATTTGTTATTGAACTGCTTTTTTTAAAAGCAATAGAGGATATTCAAGTTTTTTATTTATTTTCATCGAGTGGTATGAAAATAAATATTTCATGAGTGGCGGTAGCCACGAGTGAAATATGGTAATTTTCATGCCTCTATATATATATATATAATAAAAATAAAAAAGACAGACGGCAAGACGACAAAAAATCGAAATGCAACAAATAATGGATGAGTTATGAAAAACCATCAGCACACAGGATGTTAGTGACACGTGATACAAGCTGCGAGGCGTTTCCTGCTTATTTGAACTTTCAGTGAACCATATGAGGGAAAGGCGCGTGAGAGATAGCCACTTGGGTCAGCAGGGAAGGGCCCACGATATCATGTTGTAAAAACTTTTGGCCCAACCCTTATTAAATTAAATCAAAATTAATCAAAACACGACTTAACCATTTCATCAAGATATAGTTTCAATAAACAAACGACAGATAGGCATTTTTACGAATTTGACATTTGAGGGTAAATGCATATCTGAGTTGAATAAAAACTTATCTATACATGTATTATGAAAGAACTGTGTTTTTTTTTGCTATTACTATTGTACATGAATTGTCCAAAAAATCTAAAACAAAAACAAAAACAAACAAACAAAAAAAAAACGTAAATACCGGAAAAGTAAAATTAACGGCGTTATGTTTTTCATAGTTGACAATGTAATGAATTTCACTGGATCTTGCGCTAAAAAGATAAATGGCATAATAAGTATTTTGACAAAGTTATAAAAAGGTAGATACAATTAAGCTTCATTTCTGTAAAGCTTGTTGGTCTTTAAAGTTAATCATTTTTGGCCATGACATAGAATGTTTTGCAGGTTTTCATCAAAACGTGAATTAGATTAATTCTGTACAATACGTTCAAGCCTCCAGATGAACCAAAATATTTCATTAAATCAAACTTGAGAAAAAATGTACAAAAATTTTAAGGAAAGTAAAAATACAAGATTTAAGAAATAATTCACATCTAATGTGCAACTAATGACTTATTTTACAGTATTTATCACCATATTTCTATTGCGTGACTAATGCATTAGGGACTATTTTTGCATATTTTGACATATTTTTGGTAAAATACGTGGATTGTAAGTGCCAAATTACAATGTGAAAATAACGTTGTTTATTCACTTTACAATACTTTACTTTTGAATGCATTTTCAATTTTTTTCATGAACATAATCATGAATCTGGAAGCAGATATGTACATAACATAATATAATGTTATCTATGTCTCTGCTGAAGGTAACAGATTTAAAGGTCAATTTAACAATCCTCTGTCATCTAGAACACTTGCAGGAGACCATCAAATCTATCGAGGGGTTAAAGTCGATGACTTCTAATCCAGTTACCTCTCTGGCGTGGGTTCGATCCCCGTGAGATACTTTGGTAGTTTAGCGCGGAAGAAGGTAGTCTAGTACTCGTGTAACTCTCCAGGAACGATGGTTAGGAAACTACCCGACTGAAATACTATTGGGAAAAGGCGTAAAATGAAACAAACAAACAAACAAACAAACTATTTGTTTTACAATAACAACTCTATAGTGATTTTTTTCAGGACCTGAACAAAGCTCAACCAATCCTTCTTACGACGATGAATCACGATTTTTAGTGCATAAAAACAAAAAAAACATAATAGTTTCTTATATTTCCGAGGAAACAAAAAGAAATAAAACCAACGACAATTTAAATTATGTTTACGTTAATGTTCATTAGTAATGTTCATTAGTAAATTCTAGAACGAAAGATTATTTAGACTTTATTCCACATGATAACTTAGATTTTGTTTTTGGGGAAGTTGAGTATGAAGGTAGTTATTTTGAACTGCTTCGAAATAGTAAAGATGTTCTACGGGGAAATAATTTTGGGAAATCACTAGTACAGTTGTGCTGTGTTTTAGATGTACATTTCTTAAATGGAAGAATTAATGGGGATTTAGAGGGAAATTTTACGTGCGTTTCTAACAACGGAGCGTCCGTTGTCGACTATATGATAGCCTCGTCAGAGTTGTTTGAAAATATATGTAACTTTAGTGTACTTGATCTAACTGAATCGGACCATTTTCCATTGCATTGTTGTTTAAAATTTTATAATTTAAATGATAGAAATCGTAATACAAATGTTGTAAATAATACATTATCGGAACTTAAAATGTACAAATGGCGGGATCATCATGGTGACCATTTTCGTGAGCAAATAAATGCTCTACTTTCAGAGAATGACCAACTAATTACAAGTCTTGTAAATGTTGATATTGACCGAGCTATTGAAACTATTCAGTCTTTATATTATAATGCTGGACGTTATATGTTAGCTTCTAATTCATCAAACACGTTGCAACCGCCTTGGTGGGATGAACGTTGTGAAATACTTAAAAGACAGAAATACTCATTCTTAAGACGGTTTCGAACATCAAACCTTGCATCTGATTTAAGAATTTATAAAGATAAAAGGAATGAATTTAGAAATTATTGTAAGAATAAATTTTATCAGTACCAGTCTCAAAATCGACAAAAGCTTATTAATAATAGAAACGATCCATGTTTTATGTGGAAACAACTTAAACAAGCAAAACAAAAACAATTTATAGATTCAAGTATCGGAGCCGATGATTGGTATACATATTTTCGTGGTTTATTGTTTGATAATGATATATCACCTTTAGAATATAATAATGATAATGATGACGTCATCGTTGATAATATACATGATATATCAAACTTAAACGAACCATTTATATTAACGGAGGTCGAGTTAGCTATTCGGAAGTTAGCAAACGGAAAAAGCTGCGGCTTGGATGGAATACCATCTGAATTTTATAAGAATAGTTTAAACAGTATTGCACCTTATTTAGTATTAATTTTTAATCGAATATTTGAAACAGGTGAATTCCCTCAATCTTGGGGTCTTAGCATAATATGTCCTATACATAAGGCTGGACCAACCTGTGACCCGAGTAATTATCGAGGAATTTCTCTTATTAATACACTATATAAAATATTTTCAAGCATCGTTAATAA